TGCTGCTCCCATTTTCAACTATTATCTTTGAATATGAAATATTTATTTATGATATATTTGGAAAATACAAGAAATACATAAAAAAATACTAATAATAATTTCATTTTTATACTTTATATTGAGGCAGCATAAGATTTGAAGGTGCAAATTGACATATTTTAATATAAATAATAATAATATATTTCTATAGACAAATAAAAATATAAAATACAATTTAGACATTTCTCCAAACATCTTAAGATTATCATTATGTGGCTTTTTAATACTAAAATGTGGGCATATGACATACAGTAATTCACTACAAATCATAGGCTAATATTTTAAACAATGTGTTTTAATAAGTCAAAAATTTTTTGCCAATTAGAATCGCACATGCGTTAAAAATGTAGATCGTTTATCTTATTTGAGAAATTCCGGAAAAATAAAAAATATTCTAGAAAAATAAAAGCAATAGAAGGTTCTAAAAGAATATACTATGTAAACAATTAATATTTATTCGCAAACACTTATCCGACAAGCCAAAGCGTAAATTAATATAAATGACTAACGTAATTTAGTTATCTACCATATTTTTATAATAATTGAATTTATTATAATATATTTATTTTAATTATTTATTTTTCTATCAATTTTCGCATAATCTTTTGACAATATCAAAGCCTCTAGAATCTATATTCCATTTTTAACTTAAATAAAATAATTAAGTTTCAAAGTTCTATTTTTATAGGCACTTAATTCTGTTGAGAATAATTTCAACGGAAATGGAAAATATTCAATATAATGAAATTCAACAAAAAAATGATCAAACCTTCAAGAGAATACTCTTAAAACGACTACTCATGGTAATACTCACGATAATATTCCTGGGAATACTCTCAAGATTACTCGTGTGTATTCTTTTCGATTGGTGCACTATCTTGATTATCTTTTTTTTGATAATTTTTCACACCAAAGAGAAAGCATTCCAAAAATCAGCTGAAGGTGGAGATAGTGACGGACAGAATAATCTTGGGAGCTGTTATATAGATGGGATTGGAATTACAAAAGATGAAAAGAAAATATTTAACTGGTTCTTGAAATCAGCTGAAGGTGGAGATAGTGACGGACAGTGTAATCTCGGAGATTGTTATGAAAATGGAATTGGAACAACAAAAGACGAACAGAAAGCATTTCAGTGGTACTTGAAATCAGCTGAAGGGGGAAATAGTAATGGACAGAATAATCTTGGTAATTGTTTTCAAAATGGAATTGGTATTACAAAAGATGAAGAGAAAGCATTTCAGTGGTACTTGAAATCAGCCGAGGGGGGAAATAGAGATGGGCAGAATAATCTTGGAAATTGTTATCAAAATGGGATTGGAACAATAAAAGATGAAAAGAACGCATTTCAGTGGTTCTTGAAATCAGCTGAAGGTGGAAGTAATGATGGGCAGAATAATCTAGGTACTTGCTATCAAATTGGGGTCGGAACTACAAAAAATAAAAAGAAAGCATTTCAGTGGTACTTGAAATCAGCTGAAGGTGGAAACAGTAATGGACAAAATAATCTTGGAGACTGTTATAGAAATGGGGTTGGAACCACAAAAGATGAAGAGAAAGCATTTCAGTGGTACTTGGAATCAGCTGAAAGTGGAAATACAGAAGGACAAAATAATATCGGATATTGTTATCATTACGGAATTGGTATTACAAAAGATAAAGAGAAAGCATTTCAATGGTACTTGAAATCAGCTTGTTGTGGAAATAGTAATGGACAGAATAATCTTGGACATTGTTATCAAAATGGGATTGGGACAATAAAAGATGAAAAGAAAGCATTTCAGTGGTTCGTGAAATCAGCTGAAGGCGGAGATAATAATGGACAGAATAATCTTGGAGACTGTTATAGAAATGGGATTGGAACCATAAAAAATGAAGAGGAAGCATTTCAGTGGTATTTGGAATCAGCTGAAGGTGGAAATAGTAATGGACAGAATAATCTTGGATATTGTTATCAAAATTGGATTGGAACAATAGGAGATGAAGAGAAAGCATTTCAGTGGTTCTTGAAATCAGCTGAAGGGGGAAATAGAGGTGGGCAGAATAATCTTGGTTATTGTTATCATTATGGAATCGGGATTACAAAAAATAGAAAGAAAGCATTTCAATGGTACTTGAAATCAGCAGAAAGTGATGATAGTGGTGGACAGAAAAATCTTGGTTATTGCTATCAACATGGGTTTGGAACTACAAAGGATGAAGAGAAAGCATTTCAGTGGTACTTGAAATCAGCTGAAGGTGGGAATAGTGATGGACAACTTCGTCTTGGTTATTTTTATAGAAATGGGATTGGAACCACAAAAGATGAAGAGAAAGCATTTCAGTGGTACTTGAAATCAGCTGAAGGTGGAAATATTAATGGACAAAATAATCTTGGATATTGTTATCATTATGGAATTGGAACCACAAAAGATGAAGAGAAAGCATTTCAGTGGTACTTGGAATCAGCTGAAAGTGGAAATACAGAAGGACAAAATAATATTGGATATTGTTATCATTACGGAATTGGTATTACAAAAGATAAAGAGAAAGCATTTCAATGGTTCTTGAAATCAGCTAAAGGAGGAAATAATAATGGACAGAATAATCTTGGAAATTGTTATAGAAATGGGATTGGTACTACAAAAGATGAAGAGAAAGCATTTCTGTGGTACGGGAAATCAGCTGAAGGGGGGAATATTCACGGACAGGATAATCTTGGATATTGTTATCGAAATGAAATTGGAATATCAAAAATTAAGAAAAATGGAAATAAGATAATGCAAGAAGTAACTAGTGGTAATTATGAAATTGACAAGATTATTCACATGTCTCAATTAGATGAAAATGCAAAGGAATGGGAAATTTGGAGATGGATAGGTTATAATAAATTCACAAATATAGAACACATAGCTGAAGGAGGGTTTGGTAACATTTACAAAGCAGAATGGATAGATATGCCTGGAAAATTATTTGGATTCTATAATTCAAATCAAGTTGCTTTGAAGAAACTTAAGAATTCGCAACAAATTAGTTCTGAATTTTTAAAAGAGGTAAATATATTTAGTAAACATATTAATTTTTTTTAATGTGTGAAATATTTATTTTAACTTTATAACTTTATAACTTTATAATATAGTTAATAGTAAATTTCCATTGTCGAGATAGGTATGTTTTACCAATTATGGGTATCACACAAGATCCAATGACAAAAGAATATGCAATAGTTTTACGATATATGAAAGATGGAAATTTGAAAAACTTTCTTCAGCAAAATAAGACATTGCCTTGGAAAGAACGATTATGGTTATTGAATTCTTTTATTAGAGGATTGATAACAATTCATAGTAAAGGATTTATTCATCGTGATCTCCATCCTGGCAACCTTATGATCACTGAAGCAAATGATGGTTCAAAATTCATAAGATTAGGAGATTTAGGATTATGCAGACCAGTAAACGAGACCATGTCATCTGGAACATATGGTGTATTACCATATATTGCACCAGAGGTCCTTAATAAAAACCAATATACACAAGCTTCGGATATTTATAGTGTTGGAATTATTATGTGGGTAATATCAACAGGAAAAATACCATTTGAAGGAGAATCATATGATCCGGAACTAGCAATCACTATTTTCAATGGACATCGTCCAAAAGCTCATAAAGGAACCCCTCAATGTTATGCTAAATTGATGGAAAAATGTTGGCACAATAATCCATCTAAACGACCAAATGCTAAAAGGATTTTTAAAAAATTAGAGAAATGGCGTCGAGAATTATCTTCCATTAAAAAATCAGAAAATGCATTTATGTTTTTAAATGCAGATCAAGAAATGCAAAAAGTAGATTCAGAATTATTATTTAATGGAACTATTTGGTCCGAAACACATCTTATAAGTCAACCATTAATGCAGCATAGTTTAGCTATTCGTGAATCTTTGTCAAAATTTGATATAAATAAATATGTAGATAAAATCAATTTAGATGATTAATAAATTTATATAACTGTACTAAATAAATATATAATATTAATAAAACCCAATAAATACAAATATTAATATCATCAATTGTTCTCCAAATATTGAAACCCTAATCTTTGCATGATATTTAAAATAATTAAAATATCTAGAATATTATGTTAAATAATATTTAAATTTAATTAACAAAAATAAATAATCGTAAACATAATCATTTAAAGTGTTTATGGATTATAGTTTCTTTTATATATTAACGCATCACATCTACATTCTAAGGTTTCTATATATGCAAGTTTTACAATTCAGTTGAAGACTTTGGCTAAGATGTACTGTACTTGTTGAAATAAAATATTTAGATTTCATGACTTCTAATTAATAAATGAGTCTAGCTTTTATTAATACACAATATTATACTCTGACCTACCAAAAGCACGTGGAATTTTTAATTTTTTCGTTGATTGTATTGTATAATTTCAGAGAGTGCATCAACTTATTAATAATAACACAAAAATATTAATAGAAGGTATTCCTATTTTCAAAAAAGTTATTTTAACAAGTATTTAGAAAATAGTAGAAATATCCCCTGGAACACGATTATTATTTTTCAAAATTTAGATGACAACACTGTCCTCTAAAGGATTTCCTTTCAGATGAACAGGATGAACAATGGTGGATTTTATCTTAGCTAATTTTTATTCCTTTTATATTTACAATAATTTTATGAACTCCATTAGTCATTAAAAAAAAAAAATAATAAGTTTGTCTACTCCAAAATTAAAAAATTAATTGCATAAAATTATATATTGTAATTCATGTAATTTGTATTATATTATAGTATAATTAATATTTTTAAAAAAAAAATACAGTATTTTAAACTTCAAAATCATGATACAACAAAATATAAAATATTAATTAAATGAATAAAATAGGATGTCAATAAATAAAAATATTACCAGGTATAAATATAAATCTATAATAATTATCTACTCATTATTATCTTTTATTTTTCTAATTTTTTTATTCCAAGTGATGAAACTTTTTTCTTTTTGTCTTTCAGTTCAGCCATCCTCTATTATTGTTATCAAACAAAAATTACAAAGTATTAATAAATTAATATTACTTTAATTATATTACTTGATTCAAAAAAAAATTATAATAATTAAATACCTGTCTTCTTTCTTCTCTTTTTCTTTCAATTTCTGCTTGCTTCTCTTCTTTTGTTAATACTACTTGATGAGTAACTGATGATAATTTTGTTGGGATTGGACTTTCCGAACTTTCTGATCTGGTTGAATTAGTAGATGGTGTGGTAGATGATGGTCTCGAAATATTCCAATCATCCCAACCTTCATTAAATTCATTACCCCAACCTGAATCATCTAAATCCCAACCATCAGTTGGATTTGCTATTTAAATGAATAAATAAATAAATAAATAAATATAATATTATGTATATATAAAATATACAAAAATTAATACACAAACATATTAAATATATATCCACAAATTAAGAAATAAGAAAATTAAAACTTACTTTTACCCAATTTCATAGGAGAAACGGCTCCTACTTTCAATCCTTTACCATTACTACTACCATTATTATTCTCGGATAATTTAGAAGATGGTTTTGATGATTCTGGTTATTTGGAGATTTGGTATATTATTAAATAAAAAGTATTTTATTAATAATTTTAAAGATCGTAATAATTAATGAATGAATTAAATATGATTAATTAATATAATAATTAAATTAATATAAAATACAAGAAAAAATTTACCCCATCCATTATTAATACCATTCAACCTTTTATCATTAGGATCTATACTAAACATACTATCGTCATTTTCCCATCCATCCGAAATTTCATAATCACTATGATCAAAAGATTTTTCTTTTTCTTTAATTTGGATGTTGGTATTGGTATCGATATTGATATTGGTGTTGGTATTTTTATTTGCATTTGTATTTGTGGTAGTTACGTTATTTTCTGTAATACCATTATTTATCGTTGGTGATGGTGGAGAAATTTCACCCTCAACAGCAGTACCAACAAACTATCATGATTATTATTATTATTATAATTATAATCGATATTATAATAATTATTATAATAATTATAGTTACGAAATGTTTAAATATACCACCGAATACAACAATTATATAAAATAATTTAATGATAATAATAATAATAACCTTTTTAGTTAAAGAAGTCACGGCCCATCCTGTCCAAGTTTCAGCAGTACTAGCGGCGGCTCCTACAACACTACTAGCAATTGTTGTCGTCGTTGATGTTGTTGAGTTTTGTTCAGTTGCAGCGGAATCCGGCTATTATCAATATTAATTAATATTAATAACTAAATTTATACAAAATTTATATAATATTTAAAATTATTTATAAACAAAATATATTTACCATAGATTCGACCAACTTTTCTAAACGTTTAATAAAAACATCAAATGTTTTGAAAGCCTGTAAACGAACTGACCTAAATATATTATTATTATAAAATGAAAACTTTAATTTTTAATTTTTTTTTTTTTTTTCATTTATACGGTTCATATTTCTTGATGCTTTAATAAAAATAATTTACTTTTCTTTTTCGATCAAAACCATTGAAACATTAGGTAATATTTTGGTCGCACATTCGGAGGCATCAAAATATTCTGATGTTGCTGAAAAAAATAATATTTAAAATAATGAATAATGTGGTAATAATAAATAATAATAAGGAATAATGAATAATAAATGTGATAATGATAAATAATAATAAGGAATAATAAATCTAACCAGTCAATGCCATCAAACTTGCAATTTTAGCATGCGGAAATGGATCTCTGAGCGCTCTAGTGAACGCGGGTGCTAAAACTTTTTTTCTTGTCTATAATTAATATAATTAAATATAATTAATTAGTTATTATATTTTATTAATAAATATTAATAATAATATTATTTTCATCGTAATTTAACGATAATTGATTAACTATAATTAACAAATCAGATTTACTTGTAATACATACACTTTCATTCAAGTATTTGCTAATTTTACCCAAACAAATAGTAGTATTTGTTCTAATCCCAGGTTCATTATCCATTTGTAATTTTGCCAAATAACGTAATAAATCATTATTTATGACTCGATCTGATAACTGATAAAAATATTATGAGTTGAGTAAGAATTATCGTGAAGAGAAGAATCATTATTGTGAGTACGAAAAAAATTATCAAACCTTTGGAGCTAATAAAAGAATAGATTTAATAGTATTTTCTCTTATAATAGGTGCAGTATCAGTAAACCCTGTCACCTAATAAATTTTAATTAATTTAATAAAGATAATAAAAATAATAATCATCATCCATCTTAAACGTGAAATTATTGATGAAATTATTGATGAAATTATTGATAATTGAAATCGTTAAAATACGAACCACATTCGTGAATATTTTATCATTAACTGTCTTATTATCTAATCGATCAATAAATAATGATAAATTTTCCAATAAACTTAAACGTATAGCTCGATCCGGAACCGAAAACATTTTTACTATTGCTATCACAATTATTGTTTCGTATTCTTCATCATCAAGTGTTTTACCAATTTTTAATATTGGGACAAGAACTTTTGAGCCACCTAAATATTATGATAATAAAAATTTAGATTGTAGAAATTTAATTAATTATTTTTGTATTGTATTATTTTTGTAGTAAATTTAGTTATAATTAATTTGTAAATTTGTTAAAATTTACCTGAACCAAATTCTAATGCGTTTATAAGTTCCGGTAAAATTTTATATTTACAAATATATGGAGAAAACTTATTAATTGAAGTATCTAACTTTCTATATAATTTATATATGTATATATATATATAGTATATATTTAATATTTTAATATAATTAATAAATACTAATTATTAACAATTCTCAATATCTTTATAGATATCTCTCTCCCTTTCTCTTTCAAATTTAATTTTTATTATTTTTTTCTTCTTCTTATTTCTTACTTACTTAAAGAATATTTCTTTTTCTTTAGCTTCTTTAATATTCATATTTTCCAAGAATAACATTATTTGAATTAAATCATTCTGAAAATATCCATTAACTCTTAACCCAATATCAATAAAATTTAAGATATTAAGTCGAGATTTTGGGTTAGAGTTAATTAATTGTTTATAAGCTGCACGCATAACCTAATAAAAAAAACAATTTTAAATATTAAATTTATTTAATATATTTATTATTATAATATTTAATAAAAATATATAATAAATAATTTTACAAATAATTATAATAAATAGATTTACCTGTGGTATGGATCCAGGATTGTTAAGTTGACTTGCTGAAGTTAATAATTCATTATTATTATAAACTTCATATATTAATATTCCATAATTCCATGAATCTGTTACCCATATATCATGACTTATTATAATAAGATAATAATATTTTAGAATAATACAATAAAGATATTTTTGAATTATAATAATTAATTATAGAAAATTCTTACTCTTTAAGAACATTCCATGAATTACTTTTAACAACTTCGGGAGGTGCATATTTTGATGATGATGAATCGTATAATAAATCTCCATAAGTCTGAATAAGAAGAGGAAGGAAATAAAATATTATTATGCCATATATTAATAATCGATATATTATTATTATTATTATTATTATTATTAAGAAATGATATATACACATATCACTTGACCATCATCTTTTAATGAACTCATTAATTCAAATCCCGCTAATTTCCATTCTCCCGCTTTATTAGTAAATATTGATGAAATTCGAATATTCCCATGTATATGAGCACAATCATTATTCAAAAATTTTATTGCGCTCTAGAATAATAATTTAATAATATTATTATTTTTAGTATTATAAATAATTAAAATAATTCTATTAATAATAATAATAATGATATTATTATTATTATTATTATTACTCACTCCAACTTTGTATAATCCCCATAATATTGAATGATCATCTGATCGAATAGAAAGTTGATTTTTTAAAGGTTCCACCCTTTCTGTTACAATATAAATGTATGTATCAGTCTTTAAAAGAAAATAAATAGATAAATTAGATATATTGGTCTTTTGAAAATTAAAATATTAAAAATAATAATCCCAATTTTTCAATTATTATAGTTGATAATAATAAAATAATATACCTCAATACCATCGATATAACGTAAAAGATCAGGATGTCTTATCGTACGAAATTTTTTAAATGCATTTTTGGCCAAAGGCAATTTTTCTTTTTGTTTAACACAATCAAAAGTAAATATTGATACTGGACTTCCATCTTCCTACACGCGTATATATATATATATTTGTATGTTGAATAATAATAATAAATAATAATAATGTTTTAAATTATTAATAATATTGTTAAAAAAAATTTTTTTATTATTACTTTGTTAATAGATGTGTGTATGTATACAGTATATACTTGGGATTTGTATTATACTACTTTTTTTGTTCCGTGGTGTAATGACCATATAGATTCTCCTTCGTATGAATCAATTTTCTCAACTAAATTATAAGGAAATGAAGGTATGTCTTTTCCTAATACAACTCGAGAAAGTGTAGATTTTAGATAATCCATAATAATAATAATAATTAATTAATTAAAAATAGTGATTATAACGTTTAATTCATTTTGTTTATTTCAGGTATGACAGGAATTCGAAAAAAAAATTTTTTTTTCTGTATATGTATTAGGTTTTCAAGTATGACAGGAATTCGAAAAAAAAAAATTTTTTTCTGTATATGTATTAGGTTTATAATGCTTTGCTGATTTTCTAATTTTAATTATGTTAAAATTTTTAAATAAAAAGATTGTATTTCCAGTATTTCCAGTTGTACGTAGAATTTCTACTTCAAAAATTCCTAATACACAGGTGGATTTCAACAATTTACTGTTTTCAGCTAAATATACTCCAATATAGTTTCTTTCTCTCTCTCGAGAATTGGTAGTCACGTTTTAAATTTTATATTTATTTAGGCTGAATGGACTCGATACATTCGGTTAGTTTATTTATGCTTAATGTTAAGCTTGAGTTTTTAAAGCTTTAAATTTTTCTCTATTTTATGCTTTATTTATTTATTTATTTATAATTTCTTGTTTTATTCTTTAGATTTATTGGTGATGACGATAAAATTTATCAGGGTCAACCAAAGATTATTGATAATTCAGGATCATGGTCTAATCTAACTCATATGACAAAATTAGAAGCTAATTTAATTATTGGAGATATATTTAAAGAAAATGTTAAGGTCACTAGTGACATAATTCGCGTGAAAAAGGTATTATTTTTTTCAATCCGATTTATTATCAATAAATAATATTTTCATTTTAATCTATTTTTTTATTATTATAAAAAAATAAAGCTCTTGGCACCTTTAGATCGTTCACAAGTTCCAATCATTCGTTGTATTGGATTAAATTATAAAGAACATGCCAAAGAAACAAATCAAAAAATACCACCGTATCCAATTTTATTTATAAAACCTAATACTTCCTTACAAAATCCTTTCGAATCAATCATCGTACCCGATATCGCTACCAACAATCAAGTTGATTATGAAGCTGAATTGGCGGTGATAATTAAAAAAGAATGTAAAAATGTAACTCGAGATAATTCTTTAGATTATGTTTTGGGATATACCGCCGCGAATGATGTTTCGGCGAGAAAGTGGCAAGGTAAATGTAATAAATAAATACTTATATAGATTAAAAATTTAATTTTATTATTAGAATTAATTATATAAAATTAATTTTATTATTATTATTATTATTATAGGTAAAAATCTTGGTTCTGGTCAATGGTGTTTTTCAAAGGTACATCACGCATATTACTATTTACTGTACTGCTATTTACTATATACTAATTAGAAAGGTTTATTTATTATATTATATTTTTTATTTATATTTTTATGATATTTTTTATTATATTTTTATTTTATCTAATAACAGGGATTTGATACATTTTGTCCAATTGGTCCAACTTTAGTTTCACCAAGAATAATCAAAAATCCAAATTCTTTGGGAATTCGAGCAATTGTTAATAATAAAATGTTACAAAATTCAAATACTCAAGATATGATTTTTGATGTACCCGAATTAATTTCATTTTTAAGTCAAGGTACAACTTTGTTACCGGGAACTATTATACTCACTGGAACTCCACCCGGTAAATATATATATATATATATATATCAAATCTATTTATATGTGTATAATTAAACGTGTTTTTAAAAATAATTTATTTCATATAATTTATCTCATATTTACTTCATATCTACAGGAGTTGGATTTATCAGAGATCCCCCAATTTTTTTACAAGATGGTGATAAGGTGTTAATTGAAATTGATGAAATTGGCATCTTAACCAATCCTGTTAAATATGAAAAGAGTAGTAGACAAATAAAGCTTTAATCATTAAAAATTTTTTTTTTATCATTATTTATTAATAATTTTTTATTATGTTAGTTATTTATTATTGGTTTGTTATTAAAAAAATATTATTAATAAAAATTAACAATGGCCAACTGGAATATTTATAAGATTTTTTGTTACGCCAACAATGCGAAGATGATTTAATTTGCATTGATTCCACGTGAAAATACTTGTACTTACATAAGTTTTTAAAGTCACACAAATTGTTTACGGATATTAATATAACAATAATCTGTTTTTTCATTTTTTTACATTATTTTTTTTTTTTACTATTTTTTTTTTTTTTTGAACATTCGACAAATTGAACATTTTGTAAAAAGGAAAAAATGACAGTACGACTTTTCGATAAACTTTCCGAAGACTTTTCTCTATTACTTGAAAATAGTAATGAATATAATGTAGTAATTGAAGTTGATGAAGGTCCAGACAAAAAATTATTTAAAGCACATTCAATTATTTTATGTCATCGATTTCCCTATCTCTATAATGAATTAAGAAATATACCTTGTGTAGAGAATAATATTAAAGTAGTCAGGATAAATCATATTTCGAGTCTCATTTTTGATTTGCTTTTAAAGTAAGTATTTTTACCTATTATTACATTATTAGAATTTTATTATAATTTTTATCTTAATTTTTATTATAATTTTATCTTAATTATTTTAATTTATCATAGTTAATTTTATTTATTTCAATATTTTTATTATTTAATTTTATAAAGATTTTTATTATAATTTTTATTTTATAATTATTTTTTTTTTTTAGATACATTTATGGTGGAATTATAAAATTGGATAATCTACAAACTCCTATTGTCTTTGATCTTTTATATATTTCTTATGGATTTCAACTTTATGAATTGGTCAATATTATTCAAACTTTTCTCGTTAATCATCACGCGGCTTGGTTAAAATCAAATTTCTTAAATGTATTTCATTTATCATATCAAAACACCAATTTCGAAGCTTTTCACCAATTTTGTAATGATATGCTCCTTAGGCATCCATCGATAATTTTTGATTCCCTCGAATTCCCTAATCTTCAAGAAAATGCTTTGGTTTACCTTCTCAAGAAAGATGATTTACAATTGGAAGAATCAAAACTTTGGGATTACGTTATTAAATGGGGAACTTCTCAAAATCCGGATTTTCCCGAAAATTTGAAATATTGGACGGATGAAAATTTTCAAACTTTAAGAACCACTCTTCACAAATGTTTACCTTTCATTCGATACTTTCAAATTCCCGGTGAAGATGTAATTGAAAAAATTCAACCTTATCAAAAAATTCTGGATCCAATTTTATGGAATGATATTATTAAATATTTCATGGCCCCTCACAAACCTATATCTTCCGTAATATTACCTGGTAGAGTTAGAATTACTATGTCCTTACCTTCCCCAACTCAAGAATATTTTCCTTCTTACATTTTAAGTATTGAACAAGCTTCGGAAATTTCTTCTTGGATCGATAAGAAGAATTCTCCTTATGATATTTTGGAGAATCCTTATGAATTTCGATTACTTATTAGAGGAAGTAGGGATGGATTTTTACATACAACCTTTTGGGATACTTGTGATAAAAAGAAAGATTTGGTGGTAATTTGTAAAGTTCGAGATAGTGATGAAATTCTAGGTGGTTATAATCCAATAGGATGGGATAAAAGTATTTATGGAAATTATGCAAGTACCAATAATAGTTTCATATTTTCCTTAAAAAATCCCAATTTACAATACTCTATTTGTAGTAGAGTTAAAAATACCAGTGTGGCGATTTATAATTATTGTAATGATTATGGTCCAAATTTCGGTGGGGGGGATTTTAAAATGGTTACAAATTTTCAAGAGAATAATTGTTACACCTTCGTTAAAACTTATGAAAGACCTATAAGACATAATCAAGGTTGGTTCTCAATTGATGAATATGAAGTATTCCAAATTATTAAAAAGCAATAATAATAATTTATTTATTAAAAAAAAAACCATATATGTAATCTTTGAAATAATAATTCTATTAAATAAACTTTGAATTTTCTATTTTAAAATATCAATTCAAAGAAATTTTTTTTTTAAAAATAAGCAAAAAACGTTCAATGCAATTTTTTCGATAAAATTGGATATTAATAGAAATTTATATATAAGAATATTGCAAGAGATAAAGTAGGTTTCCCATTGGCTAGCTATTTCTGTAATACAAGTCATGCTTGGGTTCCGCAAAGTCGGATCGGATCGGATTTTTACCAATTTCGATATTCATTCCCCTCAAATCCGATCCGGATTCATCATATACGGATCCAAATACTTAAAAATATTCGAATATTTAGGACCCCGAACAATATATATGACACATATAAAACTTTTTATTTATAAGTGCGTATCAAAAACGGTACTAAGTAACCACAAATACAAGAATGAGTTGCATATCATATTGACATTTTAGAATTTTTATCCGTTTAACTTTAACTATTCAGAATTCTCTCAATTTTAATTATATAAATCTGTCCTTTTTACATAATATGTAATTTCCTCTTGTCTTTATAGTTACTTAGTACTGTTTTTGACACTTATTAAAATAAAAAGTTTTATATGTAGCAACGATCAACGATTATAGTATTTTCTAAAGTTACACTTAAATGGGGAACGAAAAAGTAATAAAATAATATTTATTTATTGTATCACAGGATTCAATCTATTTTTGGATTCAGATCCTTCGGATCAACGGATCAATCCGAATCCATATCGGAATTCAGTTTTTGGATTCGATCTGGATCCGGATCCGTAGCAGTATGATCCGATCAGGTCCGGATTCGATCCGCGAATCGATTTGGATTCGAATATTTTTGAATTTTCTATTGGTTACGAATGTACAAATTTACCACGCGCTATATCTATATATTTTTTATAGAATATTGGATACCTGCTATAATATCTGGATTTTTTTTTATAAATGACTTTTTTCTATAACACCTAGAGCAGTACAATTAGTACATTATAATAATTAATATAAATTATAGTGATCGAGAGAGGTAATAATCTCATTTCCCCATAAAATAATGTCAACATTTTCTAATATGAGAAAGGTATATGTCCCGTTGTTATGCTATAAATATCTGACTAAATCCGAAATCTGTGCATGATCATAATAATTATAGTTGTGATGATGATTATTAGGATTTTTGAAATACTTCTTTACATTCCATTTTATTCCTTTAAATTTTTGCATAAGAAATGTCCTCACATGGTAAATATTTCAAAAATTTTTAATGAATTACAGTAGAGTGGAACTAATTCAGGGGCTATTAGGAGTAGGAATAAAATATTTTTAATTGACAGAGCCCTGGGAAATTAGCTCACTAAAAAGAAAATAAACATTTTGAGAATTATTTAAACTTTCAAAACGATCGACCAGATCACGGCGACTGTTATAAAATTCATTATCGCTTTTTTCCCAAGTGGCTTTACAAACTTCACTAAGCTAAACACATTTCCCGATACGTATATGATACACTTCTAAATTTATCATTCTAATGTCCCATCAATTTTTTTTTATTGCATCGTTGTGAATTGTCTATACAGTTACATTTATAGTAAATAAGGCATTTCTGTAGAAAATAATTGTTTAAATAAAAAAAAAAATATTTTCTGAAAAAAATAAATCTTTATTATAATTAGTGAAAAGCGAATTTCTCATTGATACCAGAATAAATATTTATTTCTTTAATTTTTAATAATTAAAAAAAAAAGAAATTTTGAAATTCATTCTTAATGATTTATAAGACGCAACAATAAAATATCGTTTAAAATTTGAATAAGATAATTTGAATAGGAAATGATATTAATAAAGTTTTCAATATGCAAAATTAGAATTTCAATATTAGTTAAATAAGAAATAAGGTCTGAATTTCAAAATTATTTTGAGAATATTAATAAAATAGAAAATAGATAGTTGTTTGAAAAGCATTGATTAAAAATCACCAAAGTTTTCTTCTTTTAAAATCAAACTATTTCTTAAATAATTAATAATTAAATTATATATAATTAGTGATCAAAAATACTTCACGTGTTGTTTTTACGTCGTGATGTTTGGTGACGAATATTCTGTCCTCAAGATATTTAATAAAAAATGATATTCGAAGAGCGTAACACAGGGTGATAAATACACTTCCCGGCGGGCGAAAATTTCTATGGCGATACTGGGTAAGTGTTTCTAGAAATATAATACCCTGCGCTACTCTCCGGGCAATAGGGTAATAGTTGTCAGGAGTATAACGTAGGACTTTATATGTATTTCCATGCAACTGGTGTCAACGTAACAAGCATCACATAACAATAACTTCAGTTTCGTTTAAAAGAAAAAATAGCAATAAAATAAACAAATACCTCTCTTAAAAATTTTTCATCATCTTGAGAATTATTTAGAATTTTTAAAGCGACTTCTTTTTGACGACTTTCCCAAGTCGCTTTGTAGATTTCACTAAAACGACCCTTCCCAATATACTTTACATTTGTAAAATTTTCAAACGGAGCCCATTCTAAACGCGAAACTAATGCTTTTTTTTTTGATGAAATCATCAATTTTTTTATTCCAACTTATAGGCATTTCAACAGAAAATAATTTGATAGTAGTTTAAATAGTTTAATAAAAAAAAAAAGATAGCATAAATAGCGCTAATTCTTATAGCTTTATTTCTTATCTAAAAAAAATCTCACGCAAACAAATATTTATTCCTTATGAATCTCGTGGTTGTTTCGTGAAACTTATATTTTATTCTTTTTTTTCTTTTCAAAATTATTTGAGAAATATTACTAAACTTATTAAACTTAAAAATAAAATAGTTGATTAATATATAATTTATTAGTTGTATTAAAAAATATAAAATCATTTTTTTCTATAAGTAAAGAGGTCCAAGTCACCATGCTTAATTTGTTTCCTTTGACAATCACCATTTGTGTAACTTTAGAAAAATCGCAATAATCGTCGATCGTTACTAAGTAATGGTTCGTTCACTAATATGTCAAGTCAACAATCTAATACACCTCTATAAAAGTTTCTGATTCGTGTTTCAAATAATAGCTATTTTAATTTTTAGTATTCAAAAATTATTATTGAAAGTTTAAATGTCAAGTTCAAGTGCCATAAATGGAATTATTCCATATGTTTGGATTTTCTTGCATCAAAGAATATGAATATTTTCCACTATGTGGAGATGACTACGAATTTATGCATAAATTCTCCCATTTGGATCTTGTGTTACTCCATAAGTAGTGGAACTAAAATATCCGATTGACACTAAAATAAAATATATACATATAAATTATAAAATAGAAAAAACAACTTTCCGATATAAGTCAATGTTTTTATTGCCACAATGGGAGCATACTTGTGAATCTTTCCCAATTCATGATATTGTTTTACAGTTATAATAAATAGGCATTATTGTAATTTAAATTACTAAAAATTATTATAAAAACGAATAAAAGAAAATCGAATTAGAAGAATCTTTTATTTCTTTAAGAATTTTCTAAGAATTAATTCTTGAAACGCAAATTTCTACCAGAATGAATAATTATTTTTTAAGAAAATTCCATAAAAACTATGGTAAGCCAAATGACAAAACTCATGGGCAAATCAATATATAAACCTTACTTTCCTATTCAAATTATTTTCAAAGTAACTTATAATAATTAATATTTTAAAAAAATAAAGAATAAAAAATAAAAAATTCTAAATTTTAAATTTTTCGTTCGATATTTTTATTTTTTATGAGAAAGAGATAAAATTTCTATTATTTTCTAATTCCACCAGAAATAATTAACCAAGTTCTTTATTCACCCATTACGAAAACCTTCTACCAGAGTTATAATTCTAGGATCTAAAATGTATCCATTGTTCATCAATAAAATAAAATTAATTGGAAATAAAACAACCGGAATAACATTAATCTATTATATTTTTATAAATACATATTAAAAATATTCTAAATAATCCAAATATCAATATATATAAAGCATATCTATGTATGTATATATATAAATGAAATAATCTTCATTGAACTTGATTTCTGTATTCAGCTTTTAATGTATCAATTAATTGTTTTCGACCTTTTTTTTCATATAATTTATGTACTTTTTTCATCAATTTATCATCGTCATCAATTGCTAATATGGTAGATAAAGTTGACATTATTTGTTCAAATGAAGAAGATAATAGAACATCTATAAAAAAAAGATGAATATATAATAAATTGTTAATAAATATATATAAAAACGTAAGGGGTATTACTAAAACTCAATTGTCATCACTAGATAATTCCCTAACCCTAACTTTTCCCGGTGGTGGCAATCATCATCAGTGATCTTAAGCAAATTTCAAAACATAAAAGTAAAATAATTAAATTATTTTATACCTTCATGATAATTTAATAAAGCAACCGCCACAAAATACAATACATCAAATCCATACAGCATCATTAAATCCCATATTCTCAACATAGTATGATGAGGTACCACATCACTTGTAAATAATGTAATATACCATCTAGTTGCATACGCTGTATTTGAAATTTGTAATTCATTCTATATATATATATTTTTATGTAAAAATTAAGAAAGTGAAAATAAATGAGAACAATGAATTTTGATTAAAAAAAATTTATATAAATATACGTACGAATTTTAAGGCAATTTTTGGAGTATATAATTCCATTAATTTTTCTTGTACATAAAAACTTTCTAATAATGCGGGAAATCCAGGTATATACAAATTATGTAAATTACATCTGCTGAATAATCTAGTTAACATCACAAAAGAATTCTATTTGATATATATTTGATATTATATATATAATGGTTGACAAAGATTGAAGTTAATAATTAATATTTGGTAGAACGAAGAAATAATAATAATAAAACTCTTTTATATATATATAAATTATCATACCTCTTCAGTATAATACATTAAAAGTATGGTGACAATGTTCGTCATACCCTGACAATATCCAACTTGACTATCATAATTTGAGAATGCTCTTAATATATTGAATAATGATCTTTGTCTATTCGAAATAAAAAAAATAAAAATAAAAATAAAAATAAAAAAAATAAATAATAATAAAAATAAATAATAATAATAATAATAATAATAATAATAATAATAATAATAATAATATAAATAATGATTAGTACAAGAATATGTGATGATGAAATGAATAGATGGGAAGATATATTTGAAATGTAAATTACCCAGGTCCATATCTAGTTCGAAACATTATATGAGAATGCAATGATCTTGGAATATCTAAATCTATTTGACGTTCATGTGGTGATGGAAGAGTAAGTAATTCCTGTTCAAATGTATATTGAAATATTATTATTATAAAATTCTTTGCTGATATAAATAATATTAAATAACATCGAATAATAATAATAATAATAATAATAATAATAATAATACGAGTAAATAACATTACTTTATAATTTCTAATAGTAGCATCATCTAAATCTGTCTCGGAAACTCCGTTAGTTAACAAAAAATACCTATAATTTAGAATATACAGAAAGAAATACAATAGAAATACAGTAAATAAGAAAAATAACATTTTAAATTATATTTTTAATATTCTTTTAAACCTTTTGAAATTAATATCAACTCTTACCATACAGGTTGTCTCCATGGATCTGGAACTCCTTTAGATACTCTATTCTGAAACTAATATAAATAAATAAATAAATATATATATATATATATTTAATAAAAATAATATACGCAATATAAAAAATATATATAATATAATAAACATAGTAATATATATATAATGTTAATATTAAAAAAAATTTACCTTAGTATCCCTTGGAAATACAAAACTACTAATTCCAAATTTTCCTGATTTCTTTATAAACTTTTTAGATTCCACCCATTCAGCCCATTTCTGTGATCTTTCGGTATCTTTTTTTTCATGTCTAATTTTTTTAACAAAGTAAATAAATATATTCACCTATTTAAAACATAGATTTTTATTAGTATCATTAAATTTTGAAATATTAAAATCCAACCTTATTTCTTCAAGAGATAATTCTGGTATTAAATCATCTTCATCTTCTGATATAACGAATCCATATCTTTAACATAAAGAAATTATAATAAATAAATATAAAATAATTATGAATAAAATAAATATATAAAATAAATATGAATAAATAAATATAAATAAATAAACATAAATTAAATTTTTACCTATCAACTGCTCCACAAAATTGATCCATCGCTGTATCATCTTTGGGGCAAGTGATTTGATAATATTCATATAACATTCTAATACTATTGTCTTGCTCTCCTTGTGATGAGGAATCTTTTTGTTTACCTTTTTCTTTATGATTATTATTACTATCATCTTTTTCACTATTGTTATCTTTACTAGATTCTTCAATTACATCTATTTCTCCCAAATTACTGCTTTTTTTTTCTTCTTGTTCTCTTCCCTTCTTTTTGTCATCTACTTCACATTCTTTTGCTTTTGTCTCTTTTCTATTATTATTATCTGTTCCCTCGGTATCCGTTGCTTCACATGGATCACTTCCATTGCTCGCTTTATTTGTATCGGAATTAACAGAATTAATTATTTCTTTTTCTCTAACTAAATTAATTCCATTATTTGTATCGAAATTACTAGAATTAATTATTTCTTTTTCTCTAACTAAATTAATTTCATTATTATAAATGTTATTGTCGTAAATATTATAAATATTATCGTCGTTATAAATATTATCAACGTTATTATATCTTCCAAGTGAAGACATTTCAAAGGAAGCACTGTAACATTTTCTTAAATATCCTTTATAACTTAATGAATCATTATTTTTATCGTTGTTAATATAGCCGCTATTATTCACATTAAAATCTTTTTCTTTTGATGATTGTAATAATTGTAGTAGTTCGTCATTGATAATATCATTATTATTTCTTGATAATAATTCAATTCTATCAAAATATTTATTAATGTCCAAATCACTTTTATTGTTAATATCATTAAAATTATTAAAGTTATTTAAGTTATTCAAATTATTCAAGTTATTCAAATTATTCAAGTTATTCAAATTATTCAAGTTATTAATATTGTTGTTTTTACGACGGTTGGACGACAATCTTCGAATTCTTGGCATAGAAGCATATCTACGTACATTAGTATTATGATATGAAGGAATATCATGTTGTGAACCATTTTTATATGACGAATAAGACGAATTATCGTACAATGAATTATCGTACATAGATAGATTATCATATGGATTAAAAGATAAAGGAATAGAATTATAAGATATCTTTGGATAAGAATAGAAGTAAGTTGTTGTTGGTGGTGGTGGTAAAGAAGGTGAATTAAATGTTGTTTGAGTTGGAGTTGGAGTTGATGAATGATAAAATGGAGTTTGATAATAATAATTATAATTATCGTTATAATAATTATAATTATCGTAACAATTATCGTAATAATTATCGTAATAATTATCGATATAGTTATCGTTATAATTATAATTATTGTAATAAAAAGTTGAAGATTGTGGTGATGATATAATGTGAGGGTTTAAATTGAGGTCTGTGTTTAAAGAGGAAATTATTACCTTACTTATGCTTACTGTAATAACGATTGGTGTTTGTTTTCCTGATTTGGATGGCATTATTACTATTATTAAACAATGAAGGTGATAATTTTTTCGTTTGTTCATAAAAGAACATTAAAAAAAATATTACACTAAAGGAGAGTTGGATAAAAGAAAAAAAAGGAGAGAGAGATATGAAAAAAATAAATATAAAATATGAAATTAATTTTTTTTTTTTCTGTTAGTTACTTTTATTTGATTTTTTAATTTTAATTTAATTTTTTTTTGATTTTTCTTATTTTTATTATTTTTTCTTTGTATTTTTATGAAACAATAAATTTGGTGTTATGATATTCAAAAATCATGAAAATTAATTCATATTAAATGTTTCGTGTTTTATTAAAAAAAAAAAAAAAAACTACTGTTAAAGCAAAATGAGTTTTTTTAAAAAATATTAAAAATATTTATATTATGTCAAAAAATATCTTAGTATTATTAATATTCACCAATCAATTAGCATTTCGGAGATTAGTGACGAATTTTTGAAAATCTGCGAAGTGAACTATAAATAAAGTTCACGTACGCCGATCCGAGCAAGCATGCAATATACATAGAACACGATTCCTAATTGAAATCATGAAAAATTTCCGCTAATTGCCTTTACTTTTGTACATGTATCAAAAGATATTTCATACATCATCAACATCAATGCAATGTAAGGAAAATCTCTTTTCACTTCAGGCTTCATTGTGAAGGCTATATGAATACACAAAATGAAACCTTATCAGGAAATGGTGTTAGAAGTTTTTTTATTTTATTTTATGTTTTTATTATTGTTCATTTATTTGTTTATTATTACCTAGTGTTATAATATATTATTTTCTACCATTAATTATAGAATTGACATATATATTTAGCTATTCCCATTTTCACTTGCTTCACTTTCTACTATATTTTATATTATTTCTATTCTTTATTTATTTCTTCTCAAGTACAGTCAGACCTGTATATAATCACCACTTTATTCAGTCCCAATAAATTTTTTCTATATGATATATGTAATTATAAATTATAATCACCACCAAAATTCGGTCCCATGGTGGTGATTATATACAGGTCTGACTGTGTTTATTTGATTACTTAATTCGAGAGAAATTGTAGTAAAATCCAAATCGGATATAAACGCAGAGGTATTTCCTTAAATAATATCTTTTGACTTGTATTTGACATAAGTTTTTCTTCATTTTTATCATCCCCAATTGTATTTTGTTAAGTAGTGAATACACGTGGAATTTTAATCAACATCTTGTTATATTAATTTAAAAATTCGTTTCCTTGAATCGATTTTTAAATCTTATTTATTCTATCAGAAATTTTTTCAATAGAAACAAAGAAAGGTATAGATATTTTAATAAAAGAGTGAGAAAAATAAAAAATATATCGAGTTAATTAATTATTAATTATAAATATTGTATTTATTAAATAAACTTATGTTTAGCATATTTATTTAATTTATGAATTTTTATATCTACTCTAATTGGACCGACCACATCGATTTTATAATTAAAAATCAAAGGATCCAAAATTCAAATTTTTTTGCTTACTAACCAAGTGTAACAATTGACATGCTTTTCGATTCTCTTTCTATTCTTCCAGATATAAACTGTTGAAAATTCATTAGATTCACATTTTCACGATTAATCAAAAAAAAAAAAAATAAACAATCAGCCAAAGAAATTATTTGAAATAATTAATGGAGAAAGATAAAAATATAGTTAAGATTTCATTTCTTTTGTAAAATTATTTGAAATTATTAATGGAGAAAGATAAAAATAGTTAAGATTTCATTTCTTTTGTAAAATTTATTCATTTAATAAAAGTAAAAAATAAAATAAAATATCTTCGACTGTTTAATTTCTTTTTTTTTTATTTACGGTGAACTTTATAAATGCACCCTCTATAAGTGCATCTCTCTATAAATGCACCCTACGTTCCAGTCCCGCCCACTATAAAATTTCCATTTATAAATGCACAAGTGCATTTATAGAGGGTTCACTGTATTTCATCTCTCATTTTCTTTAAGCCATTCTTAGCTAAACTTCCCTGATATCGTTTACATTTACAAAGTTGATGAGACCTAAATAAGTTTCCTTTTGCAAATGGGAACATATGGGCTGATTTGTCTCACTTCGATGTTTTTTTATATCACATATGTGATGTCTGAAAAAACAAATTGATATTGCATTATCCACATCTATGTGGTATAAAAATATAATTTTATTGGCTAGATAAAGAAGCATTATTATTTGTGATGCGCAAAAATTTGTAGATTTTAAATACGTAACAATAACATTCCAAAATTGATATGGACAACTAAAATTAGAATAAATCAGATATGCGTGCTCAACGGCACGGGTTCCGCTAGTGATTTAATAGTACAGTATTTTCATATAAAAAATTTGTCATCAGAACTTCTGATTACTAATATTTTTTTATTTTCTGCCTTACAAGAACAAGAGCTGATAACTGAGTTCGTGCAACCCTACAGGTGTATTTATTGTGTTTACTGTACAGAAAAATTTTCGAATGTATTTAGCAAACCATTTTTTTTGCATAGATCACCAGAGAGAATTATGGTTCCGTTGGGACCAGAGGACAAAATAATAAACACACTTTATTATCAGGAAATTCCAATAATAACAGTATGGGATGCAATATTTCTTCTCTGGATGTTCTATGTCAATCAAACGCATGCTGCATATCTTGCAAAGAGCCAGGAACTTAGTTGAGAAGATTGTGATGAAGTCAAAAATACTACATCACCTCCGGGACAATAGATCTCACATACTACCTGTTGTAATTCAAAAAAAGTAACGTAATCAATTATGATACATGGCACAATTAATTAAGACATATGATGCAATTAGTTACAGCCAGTTATAACTCCTGTAAATAATTATGACAGGTATCTCTACATATTCGGAACGAAAAGGGAAAATCTTGAGGTTCATGTTCGGTGCGTCAATTCGTTTCGGACCGATGACAACTGAGACAAAAAATTCTTAGAAATAAGAGTGAAGAAGATTTTGATATCACTAGTCAAATACAAAAAAATCGTTGTACCGAATGGTAATTCTTATATTATAGATCAGCTAAAATCGGAATTCCTATATCATAGACCAGCTAAAATCAACCGTCAGCTAAAATCAACCGTCCTATTTTATCCTATATTATAAATCAGCTAAAATCAGAATTTCTATTTACGCCGCCTATTCTTTTGTGTTTGACCTGTGAATTACAACGGAGCTCAAAGCTTGCCCTAACCAAACAACAATCGAAAAAGTGCAGAAACCTTTGGGAAATTGTTCAGAATCGGTACCTTTGGAGGATAATGGAAATCCTGATGAAATCATGTAATTATGTACCCCCGCATCCTAGTCATACCAAAGGAAACGGAGAAATAACCAAAGATCAAGGATCCATATCTGAAATGTCAAAATGTGAAACAATACATTTATGGTAGTTGATACATTAGAAAATGAATCTGACCTTCGTAATATTGTATCTTTTATCAGTTGCGAGCTTCCTAGTGACAGTGACGACCCAGAAGAACTTTTTGCATACATGATGTGATTCAATCACATCATTATTATTGGGAGATCGATTATGGAATGATTTTATTGGACTGTTATGGCCGTGTATTTCTGTGGGAGATATGAGCCAAATGTTGTGGCCAGTGGGAAATTCTTTGGATGAGGCGAAATTGAACGATGGAAAAGATAATTTGTACTGGATTGTGTTGAATGATGAAACTGTTGAAGAGTTTGAACGATTGCCTGAACCACCCGAATTATCAGAATGTGTGTACGCAAAAAAAAAAAAAATTTTATGATAATATGTGTATAAATTACTTATATTTTTCGTTTTACTTATTTTCTCTCAGCTAAATTCATCCTTGCAAAAAAAAAAAAAGAAAGATCAAGAACAAGAAAAAGAAAAGAAAAAGCATTATTGTATATTTAAGAATATTGTTCGTTTTGCAGATCTAGTATGAATTTATTAGAATATTTTGGAGTTCTTGTATTAGCATCGTGTATCTTTATTAATTTAATAAACATGTATTTTTTCTTGGGTTTGTTATATGAGTTGATTGACTGTTTTTAAGAAACAAGATAATGTGTCTCCGTTTTGAGTGGGTAAGAGCCTTTATATTACTTAAAAGATGAAATATGCATAGATCTCGGTGATTACAGAAATGGAAATTGTCATACATTCTTGTCTTTTTCTTATTATAAAGCGATTTGTAATATTTCTTAGATATGCACGTTTCACAAACTTCTCGAAACATTTTTAGTTTCGTATTTTATTAATCAAAGACTCGTGTCATGTATTGAATGATTTTGGACATGTGATTTTACGCTTTGAAATTTTGCTAGAACAATCGGGAACGACTCTATACGGATTTTACCTCTGAAATAGTGGGTTCTTCTTCCCATAGTGATACAACAGTTTCAATCCCCTTAATATCTCAGAGATGGAAAACTGAAAAGATACCGCCAGCTTTGGTGGACAGCTGGAAACTTTCATCCGAATGCTAAATGGAATGAAGCGAGGTAAGTCTCTTATCTGCTTCTATGACTCAATATTTTATAAACAAATCGGTTGATATCGGCTATTTATTGCCAGTTTAGCATTAGCTTATGACAGGTGTCACTTTTGACGAATGTATTATTCAAACGGATAAACATAATGTGAAAGGTTTTTGGGAATGGGAAAATAATACTGTTTATGTTACCGAATTTCCTTCGTCATTTCACGAGGATTCCGTTTCTTCAATTATGACAGAATTTAGTGATGTATTTAGTTGCGTGAAAAATACTCATGCTAGAATTAAATTCTCTGGAGCGACGAGTAAGTGCTTTATTGTTTTTTTTTTGGTTTTCTCATTCCAAGTATGTTTCTATTGTTTACTATCGTTGATTAAAAGGATCAAAAACACCTACACCTGGAGTAGGCAAAGAGCCAAATGGGACTGTTCGACCTCTTAGAAAACCTCAAGTGCCTAGCAACGGATATGATGGAAAGGTATGGTGTTTTAACCTTGTTTATTTGTTGATGTGATTATATTGCATTTCTAATATTGATAACATATACTCTTTGTCCCAATATTATAATAGAGGTTGCTTATGCCCAAGAAGAGTGGCATCTCAAGAACAAAGTAGAAAATTACTGGTTCTTCCAAATAGAGCTCACGACGTAATTGCCATTAAACTAAATTACACACCAGATAATGTGGTTCCAACGAAGGTGACAGTAAGTAATGGCAAAAAGGTTTAATTTCTACACAGTTCCTTTGGCACTAATTGAAATATTTATTTTTAATAGGCATGGCATTATTGTAAACAACCGAACCGTTACCCCCGTAATGGTATGTTATATTTTATACTATTTCGTATTCTTATTGAATGAATTTAATTTAATTTTTTTTTTATTTAGTATGAGTTTGGAACTATAAACCGACAAGGCAATTCGATTATCATTCTACCCGGGCAATGTGTTATAAGAATTGAATGCATTTATCATGGAATGCCAAATGACTTTGGATTCCTTCTTTTCCCTACCTAATCCCATCTCAATCGATCTTTTTGAAGTCCGGATTAATGTTTTAAATCCCAAAACGTGTCATTTACTTAGTTACACGAAACAAATTATAACTTTTTTAATAGTAATAGAATAATATGTGTAAGACCAGAAATATTTGCTCCGCAGAGATGATTTGTTAAGAATCATATATTTTATTTTCTATATCAATAAAGGATTTTACATAATATAATTATTTTTGTAGAGTATGTAGATATGTATGTATTAGAAAATGAAAAAATGATATGCTAATAATCATATAATCGAGAGTTTTTTTTGACTACTTGAGGTTGCTTAAATTTTGCCAATTACAATTTTGATCCATTTGGTGTAAAATATTTTCTCTCACGAAATTGCGAAGTCAATTTTCCAATTAATTCATGAAAATTTTTAGCGTATTTCGTGATTAGGAGAAAACAAAAAATAAATTTTTTTTGGAAAAAGTGATCTGTCTGAACTCAAACTTTTGAATATAAGTGCGTTTATATAAACCAATGGCAAGCACTTGATTCATTGAGGGAATTGAATTCCAAGCCTGTAGCTGAAATTGATGGACTTAGAAAGAAAATGAAAAGTTTAAGCAAGATAAAGAAGTTGAAGTCGGATTCACGAATCTAGAGCAGAGCGATGAAGAGAAAACTGATTTTATCGCTAAACTGGGATGGGACATGACGTTTCAGTAATTAAGGAGCAGAGTTTACAAGACAAGAGCATGGAGTGCCATCAAACTGTTACTAATTCACAAAGCGCACTTTCTACGAAAGATGTTTTACAGGCTCCAGTAAGTTTATAATGACCTGAAATAAATTCTAGCAATACTCCCGAGCGTGTGGTTGGTAGCATATCAAATTCTGATGTACAGTATATTAGGAGCCAAAGAATCGAGAAAGTAAATCATTGGCAGATAAAGAGCAAGAAGATATTAGTAACAAAATGAGAAAAAGACATCGGGGAAAAGAAATTATTACGTTGTAGTAAATAATAAAATTACTAAATTGGGAATATATAATTTCTGCAATCGTTTAAAAATCGATTTGAACTAAAAATCGGTCAAAAAAATCGGACGGATGTGTATATAGCGACATAAAGCCCCATGTGAGCGTGTTGGGATGACATTCTATTCAATTTCAAACTCAGAAAACTGAGTTAGAATTGTGACCTGGTATTACGTGACTAGTAAATTTCATGAATAATAGCTTGCGCATTTCTCAGCTTTAAGCCGCTATATTAACTTAATACTATGTCAACTTTGTATAGTGATTCTGGTATGCGATTCTTATAGAGTGCGTAAATGTGATCAATTTATAAAATTTATGATATTTATAAGTATTTGTCAAAATAGCCACGTCTGGTTCTATTCCCAGTTCCACCCCTAGTGTACATGAAACTGATGAACTGAAAAATCTCCGTTATTTTTGGTGGAAAACTGGCGAAATGCACTTCAAGGCCAAATGGGGGAAGCAACGTAAGTCTTTCCTATTTGCTTCAACAATTAGTTATTTTATTGCGAGAATTGTTAATATAAGTTGTCGTTTATTATCAAAGTTACCATACGAGCTTGCTTCTGATATTTCGTATGATGTTTATGTCGAACAAACGGATAAGCACAATATCCATGGCTGGTGGGATTGGGAAAATGGTACGGTTCGTGTTGTTGAACTTCCTTCAGGATTCCATGAAAGCGGTGTTGGTGCAATTGTCCGGCAAATTAATAGGGCAACTGATGGTGTGATGGGAACTAATGCTGATATTCTTGGTCTCGGGAGTACAAGTGAGCGTGTGTTAGTTTTTATAACTTCAAATATTTTTCCATTACTAACTGTCTTCGGCTAAAAAGCAACAAGGTCACATGGATTCGCCAAAGAAGCGGACGCATCTTTTCGCCCAAATCAAAAGCCTCATGCGGGTGGATCTGACGGAGGGGTATAATATTTGAGTTTATTTCTTAGTTATTGTTTTAAGTTTCTAGTGTGACAATAACTTCATATTCTTAGAAACGACCTTGGCCAAATATTGTAGTAAAGGTTGCACACTCGCAATCTGTGGCAGATCTTTTAAGTAAAGTTGAGAATTATTGGCTCCAACCCGGAAGAGCTCATGATGCAATCGCCATCAAAATAGAGCCAACTACCCCGCTATCAGTAATGACTGTAAGTAATGTCAAGAGGATTTGATTCTTGTTGCTTTGGAACCTTCTGAATGAATTTATTCTTAATAGGCATGGCACTATTGTATAAATAATCGAACAAATATTGGTGCATTATCACCTTTAATAGTAAGTTATCTTATTATTTGTTATCACAATTGAGTTAATTGAATAGAAAATTTAAGGTATCCTCCAATTTAGTACGAGTTTGGAATAACTGACAGGCAAGGAAATCAAATAAATCTACAACCGTGGCAACGCGTTATTAGTATTCAAATCGGATGCCTTTATTACGGAATGTCATCCACTTTTGAGATTCCATTACATCTCCTACCGAATACCATCACTATTGATTTATATAACGTTCAGTCTGCTATCTTAAATTATTAAAATATTTTACCAAATTAATATTATTGTATTTTTTATAAATTTCGGCGACATACACACAATTTACTTTATTATATGTAATAATAAATAACTAGAAGATCCTTTAAAAACAAGTACATGAAATATTTAAAGTTTTAGGTTGTTCAATGATACTCAATTCTTGAAGATGCCCTGGGATAATTGTAAACAGCCTTTGGAATGTTAAACCTTAAAATAATCAAGTTTTTTTCACAGGATTCTTTCTTGAGTTGATCCCGTGCTTGTTCTCATTAATGAGCGGGATATATATTATGTCGCATGAACAAAGAATGGCAAAAATTATGATTTAACGATATTGACTTAACGTACGGCCCAAATAATAACGTCAACTTTGTATATTAACTCTGACACACGAAGAGTGTGATCAAAATTTATAATTTGTCAAAACAGCCACACATAGATCCTAGTTATTTTATGGGAGAGTTGCTGATATTAGTTATTATATTTATTATCAAGATTACCATACGAATTTGCTACAGATATTTCATATTATACTTACGTTGAACAAACCGATAAAGATAATATCCATGACTGGTGAGAATGGAAAATGGTACGGTTCGTGATGTTGAACTTCCTTCAGCATTTCATGAAAGCAGGAATTTAATGATGCAACAAGAAATTTGAAAGGAACAAATACAGGCATTATATCTCTCGAAGTCACGAGTGTTTAGCTAGTTCAGATTTTTCTGTTACTAACTATCTTTGGCTAAAAGCCATAAAATCACATGGGTCTGGAAAAGCTTCATTTCGTCCCACGAGAAAACCTCCCGTGGATCTGATGGAAGGGTACGAATAATTGAGTTGTTTTCATTTTCTAAAATTCACTTAAATTTCTGGTATTTGACAATAACTTTGCATTATTCTTAGAATCGACCTTCAAACTAGTCGAGTTCATGATGCAATCGTGATTAAAATAGAAAAATCTATTGCACCAGTTACGATTCTACCAATGATTATCGTAGGAGGATTCAATTTCTTTTCAAATACCTTTTTGGTACCATTTTGAATAATTTTTGAATCTGCAGAAAATGATTTTAAAGTATTCTTTTATTTAGCGTGAATTCGGAACAGCCAACCATAAAAGTAATCCAATCCATTCGTTAGATTGTCTTTATCATGGGATGCCTCAAAATTTTGTGATTTCGCCACCTCCCTACTATGTTCAGTTTGCTGTTTTAAATTTCATTAAATAGATTAACAAATTCATGATATATATATATGATATAATCAATTGATTGTATTATATTGATATGAAAATTAATGTGTGTAATTTACTGTAGTAAATTATGCACAATAAACAAATAAAGATCAGAAATATAAAAAATTATGATGAGTGCACTGACATGTGTATCGCACATGTGACTTTTTACGTAGCGATAAATAGACATATCAGGAAATTTCATACTCGGACCAACTACGGCGGGAAGCTCGATAAACCATATATAGTTAGCACATAATATCAAGGTCTTTTACTACGGGATTATTGAATGGCTTCTTGAACATTTCTATATATTATAATGAATGCAGAAGAAATAGATTTTTGTTCATAATTTCTTTGATACTATGCTATATATGTAATCCTATTCAATGATAATATTGAACATTTAAGTATTGTGACTGATGATGATGATGAATTGAGTTTTGAAGGTGCAGAAATGATGAATTGTTTATGTTACAAAAATGGGATGCACATATGCATATAATTGACTTCTAACTTCTTTTAGATATGTTTATTAAAAAATTTCAATTATATTTATTACCTTTTATGATTATGTAAAAAATAAAAAAAGTGATTCTTTATAGTAAAGAATAATTTTTTTTTTTTGATCTACCATTAATAAATAAATAAATAAAATAAACATCCATCTTTTTCTGTAATTCTCAACCATCCCGATTAAAAAATAAACAATGTTTTTTAGGAAAATAATAAATAGTAAATCTTCTTCTCCCCCTTCTCCTCCTCCTCTATCAACACCACCACCACCTCCTCCACTTCATAAAAAGTCGCGCCTTTGTATTGATACTAAATTCTTTGTTTTGATCGCTGAGAATGATTATTTACTTATTAACTTGGATACGGGGAAAATAGAAAGAGGTAGAAAATTAATAAATGAGAGAAATCTATGTTTATGTTTTATTCTTTAGATTGGAATTTCATCATTTCTTTGGATTCCTTAGATTCACAAGATGTATATAAAGCTTCAAAAGACGCGAGATTCTATGATATTTATGGTGTATTGGGTTTCCTGGAATTATTATCAGGTCCGTTTTATATTCTGTTCGTAATTCTTTTTTTAATTGATTCATTTATATTATTAATGATAATATTTAACATACATAATAGCTATTCACTTAATTGTGATCACTGAAAGAAAAAATCTTGGGAAAGTTCAAGGTAAAGATGTTTACGCGATTAAAAGAGTAGCGGTTATACCCTTGGATTTCGAAAGAGCAGTTAAAATTTTGGAAAGACATGTTCGTATCATTTTCTTGTCTGAATAATAAGATTTTCCTTTTTTTTTTTTTATCTGAACATTAGTTATATTAATTAATTGTACGTAAATTATTATTATTATTATTATTGTTATTATTATTATTATTATTATATAGCCTTGGCCTTCAGATAAAGAGGAGGATAAATATGATCAAGAAGATTTAAATTTTAGGATAGAGAATAATATAGAAGAGCATACACAATATGCTTCTTCTTCTGTAACTGAAGATACTATTAAAGTAACAGATTCATCAGAAATGTCATCATTATCCCTTTCTCCTTCTCCTACTATTGTTATTACTCCAATCTCGCCATCATCACCTCAGAAACAAATTGGTTCACTCTTTTCCAAAGTTAAATCAGCATTTTCCGATTTAGGGGCAGCGGGAAGAAGAGGAGGAAGAAGAAGAACTTTCTCAAATACATCTAGTGTATCAACTTCATCCGATGCATCATCACCATCTTCCAATGTATCGGATGGTATATTAGATCTAGAAGATTTTGAATGGGAATCAGTTACGCCAATTAATAATGATTTTAATGACGACGTTTTAGAACAACAACAGAAAGAAAGGAATTCTTCTTCTGATGTATTATCTGCTATAGGGAATCTATTTCTTAAAGATTATAATACCACAAATTCTCCAGGAACTGTGAATATTAAAGATCCGATTGACAATAAAGTAAATAATATTTTTAAATAAATGGTTAAAATGGTCGTATATATATATAGATCTGTTTTGTTATAATTAAAAAAAAAAAAATATTAAATATTTATTATAGGTGATGGATGCTAGGATATCGCGGGAACTTGCAGCAATATTTCGTTCAGATGCATTTTTCTTCTCTTATGAACTTGGTAATTTTAATTTAATCATTTTGATAATAATATAATAATAATATAATATAAATGGTTTACAATAAATTTCAATTATTTAATATATTATAATTAGATATTACCACAAGTTTACAGGAAAAATTTGAGCGAAAGCAAACAATGAGAGATCAACCTCTTTGGAAACAGGTAGAATTTCATTGCTATAATTATAAAAATCATACTTTTAAAAATTTTACATTTATTTATTTTATTCATTCATTTATTTATTTATTTACTTAATCAAAGGCAATTAAAGGTTTTTGGTGGAATGAACATATGCTTCAGAACTTTATTGAACTTGAAGTAAGGAAAAAAATTTTCAGATATTTACGATATTTTTTCAAGATTTAATTAAAAAATGTCAATATTATAATATTCATTCTATTAGTTACATGCATGGATATTACCTGTAATGCAAGGTTTTGTGCAGATCAAACCTTGTGAGATTGATGAAAATTCTTTTGATTTCATAATTATTTCTCGAAGAAGTAAAGAGAGAGCTGGTATTAATCTTTTCTTTTATTAATGTGATGCATTTATTAATATAATATATTTAATGATATCTTTCATATGCTAATCTTTAATTTTTTTTTTTTAATTTTAAGGATTGAGATATCAACGTAGAGGTATAAATGAACATGGAAATGTTTCTAATTTTGTAGAAACTGAACAAATAATATCAGTTAAGGTATCTTTCTTGATTTTTTTTTTAATTTTATTTATTTACTTTATTATTTTATTTTATTTATTTTTTATTTATTTTATTTATTTATTTATTTTATTTTTATTTTATTTACGAATTTTCTGATTATAATAATAAGGATCATGAAATTTCATTCTTACAAATTCGTGGTTCAAGTATGTTTAATTTTCTTTCATTTATTTAATAATATTTAATTATAATGATTTAAATACAATAATTAATAATAATTAATTCATATAGTTCCATTATTTTGGTCACAATCATCATATGGATTAAAACCAAGACCAGTATTGGAACGTTCAGAAAGTGAAAATAAATTAGCATTTTCTAAACATTTCGATTCTTTGATCAAAGTTTATGGAAATGTAATTTGTATTAATTTAGTTGAAGCCTGTGGTAGAGAAGCAGTTGTTGGTGGTGCATTTCGAGAAGCTGTTGATTTATATATTAATGATTATGATAATGAATATAATGATATTCGTCACCATGAAAAAAAAATTGAGTAAGTAAATAATTGTGATGGGGGTTTTTTTTTCGTCTTTCAAAAAATAATATTTTTTTAATTATAATATATTATATGAATTTTAAAAAGGTACAAAGAATTTGATTTTCATAATGAATGTAAAGGAATGAAATATGAAAATATTTCCAAACTCGTTGAGATGCTTGAAAAAAGTTTTAATGATATTGGGTAATTTTAATATTTCTTTTATTATATATATATTTTCTCTCTATTTTTTTTTTTTTGTTTTAACTTGCTAATATTATTTTACGAATAAATTTCAGTTACTTTTGGAAAGCAAAGAATAATGAAACTGGGGAAGACGAAGTTCATTGTTATCAGAAAGGAATCTTTCGTACGAATTGTATGGATTGCTTAGACCGGACAAATGTTGTACAAGTAAGAAGAATAATATTATTTGAAGATTTCTTGTGCATTTTAATGAGATTGTTTTTTAATGCTTTTAGAGTTCCCTTGCTAGGACAGTAATGAATCTTCAACTTTTAAGGCTTGGGATATCAGAATTTGTGGATGGTGGCATTTCACATTATGAACAATTCGAAAATATATTTAATGATGGTAAAAATTTTAATTTAATTCGATCTACGTACTCTTTAATGTTTATATGTATATATATAATAAATTTTCATACAAAAAAAAAATAAATAAATAAATAATAATTAGTCTGGGCAAATAATGGAGATTCTATAAGTAGAGAATATGCAGGAACTAGTGCATTAAAAGGAGATTTTACTAGGTAATTATTTTTAATAATAATGATTGATTTGCGTTTAATTATAAATTTATTTCTTGTCCTGACTAAATCCATTCTCTTATATAGAACCGGTAAAAAAAAATACCAATTTTAAAAAATTTATATTTCTATATTTTATTAATTATTCACCAAATCCGTTGTTAATCATTATTTGATTTTTTTATAAAATGGTTAGGTAAAAGAAATCTACAAGGTGTTTTTAATGATGCAACAAATTCAATTGCAAGATTGTTCCAAAATAATTTTAAAGACTTTTTCCGACAAGTAACGTAACAATAACAATTTGATTTTTATTTATTAATTTATTTGATATATTAAAAATATATATATGTATATATATTGATATTTTATTAGGCCAACATAGATTATTTACTTGGAAATCACACAATAGAAGTATTTCAAGAATTACAGCGTAAATTTGAAGCATCTCAACCTGGTGATGCTTATCGATGGGCAAAAGTTAGGGCCACAGCAAGTAATGTTTTTTCTTATAATTATTTTATTTTTCTTTATTATTACTATTATTTATTATTTATTATTATTATTATTATTATTATTTTAATTGTCTAATTAAAATATTAAATATAAATATTACAGTTGATATTAGTAGTTCAATAGTTATTTTGGAAAATGAAGAAAGAATTAATGGATGGACATTTCTTTCTCCTGTTGAACCAAATACTCTGTAAGTAAATTTAAGTTAAAAGTTATAAAGTTATTACATGAGTTAAATTTATTGTTAATTATTATTTTATTATTATTATTATTATTATTATTGTTATTATTATTATTGTTATTATTAGTCGAGGTAAATCATATGAAGAGAAAGTTTTGCTCTTGACAGAAAAAGCATTATATGTTTGTACTTTTCATTATCGACTTGAAAAAGTAATTCAATTTAAAAGAATTGGGTTAGGAGAAATTACGTGTATTGAAAAAGGTTTGAAATTTTTAATTCTTTATTATAAATTTGAACATTTGATACATTATTATTATTTAAATAACCATATTTGAATTTTCAGGGGAATATATATTGTCAACTTTTTATGCCTCTTGCGTATCACCAGAGGATAATTATGGTTTCGTAATTCATTATCGAGCATCTGGAGAATCGAATAGAATCAATTCAGGAAGTATGAGAAATAATAATAATAATGTTAACAACGGCAAAAGCGATAATAATAATGGAGAGAAGAGATATATAGCATTTAAATCTTTTAGAAATGATTTAGTAGGTGAAGCAACTAAATTTGCTAGTGGTGGAGGAAGTGGAAGTGAAAATGTAGGAAGTAGAATTAGTTCATCTCCAACTAATTATCCAAGTGAAAATTCAATTAAAAAAACTAGTCAACAAACTGTTAATGAAGTTGTAACAGAGATTGTAAAAGCTTGTGGACAAATTGGTAATGTCATTGAAGAAGTTGAAAGGCCTATAATAAGGTATACTTATTTTTTTCTCCCTAAATTTTTACTCCAATATTTGTTTCATAAATTCCTAATTAAATAATATTCTATTGATAATGTATTTTTTTTTCTGTAGTCTTGAAGAAGCCATTAAAGGTGCAGGCATAATGGCTAAAGTAGGATTTAGATTTAAGCAGGCCTTATGGTTATAATAATAACAATATTAAAAAAGATGATTATTTATTTTTAATCATATGTAAATTATTATTGCATATTACATTATTTACAATTGCATTCATTTATTTATAACTTATTTCTTTGTTTTAATATTTTTTTTTATTAATATGTATTTTTCATTATTTATTTATCATTATTTATTCATTTATTTATTTTTTAATTTTTTTATTTGTGTTTTAGCTTTGTGTATTTTTTTAAATTTCATTTTTTGTATTTTTTTTGTATTTTTTTTTTGTATTTTAATTTCGCATTTATCTTAGAATAAGATAATTATATTAATTTGATAATCTTAATTTAACATTCAATAAATTTCAATTTTGGTTTGATATTCATTTTGTTTTAGAAAGATTAGATCAAAATATCAACTCTTTCTTCCAGCAAGGGAGATGATTATCGTTAAAACATGAAACGAAATGATTAAACTCTTAATACACCACATGGCATATGACTGTACAGCATTTTATAGTTGAGAGTTACGACATATAGGTGCGGCAGTAATAAAATAAATTACAACAATAAAATGCAAGCGTGATTATGAAAGACTTTATTCATTTTATTAAAAAATAATAAGGTTTGAAATACAATAAATATACTTTATCGTCCAGCATGTGGCATTTAAAGATAGTACTTAAAAGAAAGAACAAGAATTGTATTTCCGTAGATAGTAATTTAAAGAAAGAAATTCATAATTCGAATTATAACAATAAATTAATAAACTAAAACACATTAATACCGTTATTTTCCTAATTAATCATCTATTGCTATTCCTTTGTCGATATTAAATAACTGATAAACAAATGATAAATAAACGTAAACAAAAATATCGATATTTTCTTAATTGATTAATTATTATCTATTCTTTGTTTTGGAAATAATTTTTAATGTCATATTGGGAAAGAATGGTTTTCTCTTTTTGTAAAGGTAAAAAAAAAAATAATTAATTGAAGTGATTTATTTGCTTCTATAAGAAAAAAATTTTTACTAATTTATATAGATATACCAATAACACCACGGAGGAATGTGGGCTAACGAATAAAATCTAGATCCAGCTTATCCGCGTGCTAAGGGTTCTCCAATTGAAGAAGAAGAAAGACAATGCTAATACTAAAGTACAGTAATCTGAAAGTTTAATCTGTCAATAGCCAATCATATCTAGCATATCCGTCGTATAGTTACATACAATTAATTATGTAATATGTAAATCATATCTATATTTTGTAATAAATTTCAAAAATAGAAAAACAAAGAAAAAATTTTAATAAAGGTTTTATATTGGGGCAAAGACTCCCCTGATGTTTTGAAAATTACAATAATATTAATAATATTTAATTTTTAATAAAGACTTATATTGGGGTAAGACTCCTGTGGTGTTTTAAATATAAAAATAAATTGAAACCCAATAAAGTTAAATACTTTAAATATAATAAATGCATGTTTTTTTGAGAGATAATTTTACTGAGAATAAACGTGATTACATAATTCGTTATTTTTACTAATTTATACAATGTGTTGTGTAACATATAGTAAGTGATTAATTGATTTATTGGATTTATTGCATGAACACGTTATTGGTGCACATGAGAATTTTTGATTTTTATCTAATGGTTCGATTTTGCATTAAATTTTAAGGAAATAATGGCTTCAATTTCAGATCTATTTTTGGTTATTTGTTTGTTTTTACTAACTTAAATGTGTAAAATGTGTGTAGTTCGTGTCGTGTAAAGTTTATTTTAATGAAATTTAAATAAGATTGACTAAAAATGAAACAACAGATTTTCTAAAGAAAAAACCAACAATATGATGTTTCTTAAGTATGAAACCAACAATGTCTTTTTTTACAAATGCAGTGATAAATTATTTAAATACTTGATTTGTGATGCAAATGAAATTCGTAAATATAAAAGAACCTCCAACATTCGACAGTTGTCAATAATTTCAATTCAAAAAACAAAAAAAAAAAAACTAAAAAAGCAAAAAGTATCAAAAAACTACAAATACAACTACTATTTTGCCTAAATCAAAAATTTCAAATTATTCAAATCTTTAAAAATTTTCAAATCTTTTAAATCTTTTTTCAAACCTTTTCATCTTAAAAAAATTTATTATTATTATTATTTTTATTATTTCTTAAACAAAAAATGACAACCTTCTGGCCATTATTTTCGGAACGTAAAATAACCTCCGAGAGATCAAATTTTAAAACTTCTCCAAATTCTGAAATCTTCTCTTTTCAAGTTGCCTTTTCTTATCAAATCGACAATAAACCTTATTATTTCGCTCATAATACTAATACCAATGAATGGTATATTCAAGAAATTCTTGATAATGGAAAATTTGGTAAAACAATGTCAACTGGTAAATGGGAAATTCCTTATCACATAGCATTTACATTTACCGTCAAAGATAGAACTTTTTATTACGCTCAAAATATCGATTTAAATATTTGGTATGTTCAAGAATTATTAGTAGACGGAAAATTTGGGGAAGTAACTGATCATGGAAAAAAAACGGAATCTTATAAAGTCGTACTACCATTTAATATTAATGATCACGCTTATTATTATTGTCATAGTACAAATACAAATCATTGGTTTATACAAGAATTATTGGAGGGTGGTAAATTTGGTAAAATTACTTGTGATGGAATTTGGTCAAGTGATCATCAAGTATCATTTCATTATGGAATCGAAGATAAAAATTATTTATATATGTATAATACTACGAAGAAAACCTGGTGGATAAATGAAATATTAGATGGTGGTATAATTGGAGAAGAAACTTCCAGAGGAAATTTAAAAAGTAGTTTTCACGTTTCAACCCCTTTTCAAATTTTCGGTAAAACCTATTATTATGCACATAATTTAAAGACTCGACATTGGTTTATTCAAGAATTACATTATGGTGGAAAGATGGGACCTAAAACTACTAACGGTACTTGGACAAATTCTTATCCAATGGTATTCACGGCAAATGTTAAAAATAAACCTTATATATTTGCTCCATGTTATATATCAAAAAGAACGAATTGAAAAAAAAGGAAACGAATGAAAGAAAAACGAACAATTTTACATAGAAATATTTGTTTATAATTTGTTATTATTATTTTTGTTTATTTTTTTATTATTTATTTTACATTCTTAAATTTCTCATGTATCTTTAAAATTGCATTGAACAATAAAAGATTTAAAATAAAAAAAAAGTTTATTTCAGTAAAAGAATTTTTTAATTTTATATGAATAAAATAAGTGATTTTTTTTAATACTTCATTTTTTATTATTTTTAGCAAGTCCAATATCGTATCAAACTCAGTGATTAGCCCATCAAATAGGAATACGATATCTAGAGGAGAAGGAGAAGTTACAGAAATAAATCAGATTCGCTACATCCAGAAGGTCGTACGATAAATCATGCATGTAGAATTTAGAATTTCCATGACTTTTTACATTACATACCGAAAACGTGGCAGAAACGTAAAAAAAAATATGCAAATAAATGTAATGTTTATATTTTGTAATAGAACATTATTATAGTTATACAATAAATCTTAAATACAATCACAAATAGTAATGTGTCTAAATGTTACGGTTATTGTTTTGCCTCTTTTAGTTCTTCCCGATTGCCTGCGTTTATCTATACAATGTGTTACAAAAGCCTTTGGAAATTTGATAGCCAGAATTAAACTAGTACAATTTAAACGCAAATTGCACGTGCTTTTAAGATGATTTTTGATCAACGTGATAATCTTTCTTGCCTTGGTCTTTTCGAACAAAATGCCACCTACAAGTAAAAATACACATGCCAACCATAAAACATCGTACATCACACAGGGGAATTCCGTACTTACTTTAATAAAAATAAAAAATTTTTTTTCCCCTTTTTCACTATTTTCGCTACCTACTATAAAGTGATTATAATTTAAAAGTATAAAAGGAAGCGTGCAAGCAGGGGCTCTGCATTTTTTACTGAGAGAGGCACCTCAGGCTCCTTTTTTACCCGAGGGAGACAACTCGGACTCTCTATTTTTTTGGGCAGAGCGAGATAGCTCTGACTCCTATTATTTGGGCAGAGTGGATAACTCTGATTCTCTCTAATAATGGAGGGAGATACTCCAACAGTATATGTAAGAGTATTCCTTAAATATAATAAATTATAGAAATTTATAAAAATTATGGGATTCATGATCATCGCATCGTGTTTCCATATATGGTCATGTGTCTGCCATTCATGTGAGTTACGCAGCATATCATAATTTCGAATATTAAAGATAACAAAATAAAAATTTTCAAAAATTTTCCCATAAAAATTTTTTGGAATATTTTTTTTTTTTAAAAAATAAATATTTAATTTGTATAATAATTCGATACAGGTTTTGTTAATTGTATTTTTAAATAAAAATTCCTTACATATTTTTATATCATTACATTTAAATACATATATAACTATATCTTTCACGTCACGTTTCTCTTAATTCTTTAATTACACACACGACACAATGCTTATTTTTGTGAATCCTTTCCTGACATGTGTAAGGATACAATGAATAAATCAATTTGTTAGATATATAATGAATTTTAATAATTTGAAATAAAACTCGTTTCAATTATTTTCTTTCCTCCTTTACCGACATTAATATTGACACCATCATCAACACTATTAACGTTGATATTCATATTATCAGTAGCAAGAAATAAATCTTGAAATTTATCTTTTTTCGCTTCAACCATACGACAAACACTATGTAGTCATTCCAGAAACATTCAATTGAAATTGGATGTTGAAACAATATGGTGGTTACGAAAAGTATCAATGCTGTCGGTTTAATTATCCAAGTTGTTCAATCCTTTGATTAACTTTAATTTATGTACTGTAACTTCCGATGAAATCACAAGTCGATTACAGATGTCATCTGTTTCAAATTTAAATCAAATGTTGATATATACCCGAAATATTAATCTCTCGACTTAGATGTTCTTTGGATATCCAGGTCACCGCTATAATTTCTTTTCCACATTCATTATTCGACGTGCGATATAAGTACATGCGGCATAAATTACCACCTTATCCTTTTTACCTTAATCTAATTGTTTGGTCGTCTCAATGATTTTCGTGGATAAATCCATCGAATGACAAATTGACTCAATCTCCTAAATCAAATATTTCAAACTCACATTTACTCTTATTAATTATAACTTTACGACTTGATGATGGTGAAAATTCATTATTCGTACTTCCTTGCCATGAAATTTACTAAATGTACGCCATTCGGATCTGGTATCAATAATTTTATCATAATGTGCTAATCCACATTCTTCACAAACTTCAATAAATTTGGGATTGGGCTTTTTACAATCCGGAAAAATTAATTAACAGGTCGAAATATTGGAAGTTGAAATTGCTCCATTATTCTGGGGGCGATGATGATGATTGTAATTGTTGTTGTCGTTGTTGTTTTGGATATTTAGAAAAATGAATATTGGAACTTGAAGGCGATAATTATAATATTATTTATTATATGTATTTTACTGGATTTGTTATATTACGATTTAGAAAAAAATTAGTAAATTTAATAAAAATATGGTAAATAAATATAAATCTTTATAATACCTGTAAAATAGTTTTTGAAAGTTTATATTTTCTTTAGGTTATATTAGTAATTATTCCTTTATACAGTCAGATCTCTCTATATTCTCTTTATAATCCCATCAATTTTAATACCAGCTATTATGAACATATAAGCACAACCTCCATATAAGCACATTTTTTTAAAAAAAGCACTATGATCTATGGTATATGATTTGGAGCTGGCAAGTTCATTGGTTATTATAATATTATAGAAATTAATTAAAATTGTAAAATCACATGACATTCGGTAATTTTTAATTTTCTCCGAGAGCGACCAATTTTATTTTATTTTTAAATACCTCCTCATCAAAATCAAGAAGATAAAATAATAAAGTGGAAATGGATTTATATAAATGAGATGAATGTAGATGTATCCGAGGTTGGTGGTGCCAGCCATGTAACTCAACGCATTTCAAAGAAAACTTTGATAAGGAAATGAAAAAATATATAAATTTAGAATGGATACCTTATAATAGATTTAAAGACATTAAAGAAATTGCTAAAGGTGGTTTTAGCATGATATATTATGCTATATGGATTGATGGACCCATTGAGATATCGGGATGGGATCCTTGGGGTAAGCGATGGAGAAGAAAGGGTCAACATAAAGTAGTATTAAAAAAATTTGATAATTTTGCAATTTAAATGAAGAGTTCTTAAATGAGGTAAAATATTTTGAATTATTATGCGAATTTATAAATATGTAATATGTTAATTATAATTTATAAAAATAAATTATTTAGATGGGAATTCACTTGAAAGCAATGGATATCTTTAGTTACGATTCCATTCAAATTTATGGAGTAATAAAAGATACTGAAACCGATAAATATATGATAGTTTTAGAATATATGCCTGATGGAAATCTTAGAGATTATTTAAAAAATCATTTCAATAATATTAATTAGAGTTATAAATTATTTTATTTAAGAAAACTAGCACAAATTTTTAGTTCTTTTCACATTACATGGGGATTTTCATCCTGGAAATATTTTATTAGATTTTAAAATTTTTCAATTACGTATTTCAGATTTTGGATTAAGTAAAATATTTGGACAAAGTTTGAAAAATTCTAATAAGAGAAATATTTTTGGTGTATTACCCTTTATCTCTCCAGAAGTTTTATGTGGAGAAGAATATACAAAGGCTGCTGATGTATATTCTTTTGGAATTATAGCTTATGAAATAATTACTGGGTTTGCACCGTATTATGATTTGCCACATGATAGAGATCTAGCCAGAAAAAAATGCAACGGATTACGACCAAAAATTCCATTTTATAATCCAAAATTAGTTACAAGAATTATTATGATTCTCGAGTTACTCATCGTCCTACTTTTGAAGAATTGCTTAAAGAATCATTTAAATATGAAGTGGATTATGATAAAAATTATTTTAAAATAATAATGAAATTACAATACAAATTGATAAAGAAGAAAAATTTTACAAACATCTAACAAACACAACAACTATAAATCCTTATAATTATAAAACACCCACAAGCAATTTACAACAGTCGACTTCTTAATTATTCGGGACTTCCAAAACCTAAAAATGAAGAAAATTTTGAAAAAGAACTTGAAGAAATAACTAATTCTATCTATGCTTTAAGTGTTTGTAAGTATCAATTATATTTTCTTAATATATTATTATTATTTATTTTTTTATAATTAATTATATTAATTTTATTTCTATCTTTATTTAGTTGCTTCTAGATCAATTAATATGTGTGTACCTAATTCTTAAATTATATTTTATTTTACTTATTGTTATATGTAATTGAGATTTTTGATTATTAATAAATAATAAATATTATTTTCTAACAAACAAAATAATATATAATTATTGCTTAAAATTTTTTTATTTACTAAATCGCTAATGTATCAGTATGGTATTTTCTTCAATACAAAGTATTATTAAAATATATAAGGAAAATAATTTTTTAATTTTTTTTTACAAACACAATTCAAATTTGAATTAATTTGCGCGTGCGTTTACAAAGAGTTATATTTCAAATATCATATATTTTTTTTAAATAGTAAAAATTCTTATTCATTGAAACTAAAACAAAATATCTTATTTTTTTTAGACTTAAAGAAATATTGCTATGAATTTTTATTATCTTTTGCCATTAAATTAATGTATCTAAGCTCTTCATCACTTTTACTACTATTATTTTTTTTAACCATCAGCGCATGTTAAAATGCTTTATTAATTGTATATTAAATTTAATAAAATACATTTATTATGCTATTCTAACTATCTACACTAATTATTTCTAACTAGCTGCGGGTCTGCCCTTCGACGCCAGAATCACTTTTATTATTACTAAATATACGCCTTTCGGATCTAGTATCGATAATTTTATCATCAAGTACTATCTCCATAAACTATATCTCCAACTTGAAAATTCTTCAATAAGTTCGGAATTAAGTTTTTACAATCAGTCTATATTAATATAGAAATTTTCTGAGGTGAAAATTTCCTGATGCTGAAATATTAGAGTTAAAATTGCTTCATTATTTAAATTATCCTAAGTTGTTGATGATGTTATTAGATATATTGAATAAAAAAAAAAATACTTGTAAAATACGTGGAATATTTTTGATGTGAAAGAAGAAAGTTATTTTGATATTAATTACTTGGTTCACGTATATTATTTATAGATATTCGGTACGGTAATTTTTAATTTTTTCCAAGAGCGAAAATTTCATTTCCATTACTTTTTTCAATTATCTCACTCATCAAAATTAAGAAAATAAAATGGTTAGATGTAAAGCATGTAATAAAAATAATCTCTGGTTTATAACTCAAGGAATTTCATATAAGTGGAAATAATTATTTGGGATGCTCAACTAAATGTAGAATTACTTGAGAAAGTAATAGAATGGATATCTCATAATAGATTTAAAGATATTAAAGAAATTACCGAGTGTATACCAAAAAAATGGGCGCGAAGTGAAGTAATATTAAAAAAATTTGATAATTTTGCAAATTTAAATGAATTGCTTAATTTGATGTGTTTTTTTATTTGCTAAATGAATATTATTTAGGTATGAGTATTAATATTAGCTTCAATTAAATTATAACGAAAATAATTGGTTTTTACAACTCTCACTTGAATTGAATTGTAGGTAAATTGCCGCCTTTACAAAGAGTTTTATTTTCAAATATATATATTTTTTTATATTATATTCGCGTAAATGACTTTATATAATACATTATTACTTCATAGCTTAATTGTATTTTATTATTATACTCACAAATTATATTTGTAATTCAAAGATATATAAAAATATTTATTTTATCAATAAAATCTTAGGATAATTTAATTTCCTCATTTTTTGAATATTCCTCTATGCATGAATTAAATAATTCCAACCAATAAATATTTATTTATAAATATTTTGTTCTGTAATTGATATTTTCATTTTAAATCGCGTAAAACATATCGGTAATTTTTAATTTTCCTCCGAGAGCGAAAAAAATTTTCGCTTTTTTTTTTTCCAATCACTTCACTAAATAAATTAAGAAAATATGATGTTTTTTATGTATTGAATGCAATCACAAAATTATTGACCGGTATTGAAAGCCATGTATCTCAAAGAATTTCAAAAATAATTTTTATGAATGGTCAAGTGTAAATGAACAAGTAGATAAATTTATTCAGAATTATCTAAGAAAGTTAATAGAATGGTGGATAACTTATCATAGATTTAAAGATATTAAAGAAATTGCTAAAGGTAGGTTTTAGCACAATATATTATGCCGAATGGATTGGTATATTAAAAATCAACAATGGAAGTGAAGTGATAAATTTGTAGTGGTATTAAAAAATATGATAATTTTGTAAATTAAAATGAAGAGTTCTTAAATGAGGTAAATGTTTTTTTGAATTGTTATTACACAATTTTTTGAAATAAATATACATTTGTATTAATTATAATATAAAAATACATTATTAAGATGGCAATTCACTTTGAAAACAATGGATAGCTCAAGTTATTCCATCTAAATTTATGGAATAACAAAAGATTCTGAAACCGATAAATGTATGATGGTTTTACAATATATGCCTGATGGAAATCTTAGAAATTATTTAAAAAACCATTCCAATAATATTAATTGGGATTTAAGAATACTAGCAAAAATTTTTAGTTTCTTTCACACAACACATTAGATATATTACATGGATTTTCATCCTGGAAATATTTTATCGCATAATTATCAAGATGTAAATTTATATATTTCAGATTTTGGTTTAAGTAAAATAGTTGGAGATTCTAATAAGAGAAAAATTCTTGATGTATTACCCTATATGTCGCTCCGGAAGTATTATGTAGAGAAGAATACAAAGGCCGCTGACGTGGAATTATAGTTTATGAATTAATTATTGGATGATGTGCCACATGATAGAGATCTAACTAGAAATGGATTACTCCAAATTAATATAACCAATTGTATAAAGAACACCTGCATATGTGATTATAAGAAAAATGATTTTGACAATAATAATGAAATTAATGAAATTGCAATTTTCAAATCAATAATGCTGAAAATTTTCCAAACACCTAACAAATACAACAACTATAAATCCTTATAATGATAAAACGCATCCACAAGAAATGTCGACTTCTTAATTATTCAGATCTTCCAAAACCAAAAATGAAGAAAATTTGGAAAAAGAACTTGAAGAAATAACTAATTCTACTTTAGTTGCTTCTGGATTAAAAATATGTGCGTACCTGATTCTTAAATTAATTTTATTTTACTTATTGTTATTATTTTATGATTAGCTTAAAATATTTCATACTATGGTAAATTTAGTATCATATTTATATAAATAAGTTTATAATTGAGATTTTTGATTATTAATAATAAATAATAAATAATATTTTCTAACAAACAAAATAATATAATAATTTTTGCTTAATTTATTTTGCTTAAACACTAAGTATCAGTATTAGTATTAGCTTCAATACAAGTATTATTACAAATACAATTCACACTTAGATTAATTTGTAGGTTAATCGCGTTCGCGCTTTTACTTATCATTAAAACGAAATATATGATATTCGAAATATAACTCTAAGAAATTCTATTCGCATATTGTATATATGATATTCGCGCGTAAATGATTATCAGTAGTATAAATTATTGTATACATGTATTATGATTACTAATCAATTATGCATATTTATTACCATATGACCCAAAATACGGGTGATGTGATGATGAAAATTATTTCTTTGACAATGAAATTAATGTATCCAAAGCTGATGGATCTAATGAATCCTATATTGTGCCGATACGTGAAGGGTTTTATTTCCTTCATCATCATTAATAAATGTATGCCATTCGGATTTGGTATTAATAATTTAATCATCAAGTACTAATCCACATTCTCTACAAGTAATATTTCCACTTTAATAAGTTTGGGATTGTGATATTACAATCCGCTTATTCATTATTTAAATTGAAATGATGATATGATTTCACTTTGACTTCAAATATTTACTTTTGGTTCATTAGTTCACGTGTATTATTATTTATTAAAATCGTAAAACCATATGCATACGATTCCGATTCCATTTTTTATTAATAATCTCACTCATCAAAAAAATCAAGAAAGTAAATAGGCATATGTAAAGAATGCAATTGAAATGCTCCCTGAGGTTGGTGAACCATGTAACTCAAAACATTTCAAAACTAATCTTTACAATGGAAATAGAAAATTAGATAAATTTATTCGAGATGCCGAATGGTATGAGAAAGTAATAGAATTGATACCTTATTAGAGACTTAAAGATATTAAAGAATTTGCTAAAGGTTGTATTGATACTATATATTATGTTGAAAAGATTGATGAAAGTAAGAATGGAATATTGAAAATCAACAATGGGAACGTGATGTGACATTAAAAAAATTTGATAATTTTATAATTTTGCTATTAATTTCGAGAATAAATTACCAAATTCCATAAATATGGGGGAGTTAGAATTAACAAATGTTTGTATAATAATTTAATATTGTATTTTTTTTTTACACTTTAACATTTAAGCTAAAATATCTATTGCTTATTTAGATAAGAATATGATCAAAAATATGAAGTTTTAAACAATTAGATATTATCGTTATAGCTGAGATCATTAAATGTATAATTATGTCATTTACATTAATTTTATAATCTAAAATGTTTATTATTTTAAATAATATTAGATTTAATTAAATTTATTTAATAAATTATAATCTTAAAAAAAATAGATTGAAAATTATAAGCAAAAAATCGGATCAAGTAATATGTCCTCTCATTTTCTATTGAAATGTATATTTTAAATGAAAATTGTTTATTAAAAGAATCAAAAAAAAATATTAGGTGCAGTTTTTTTAATATTAACATCAAATCTTCAAAGATCGTAAGAATCGGGAAAGTAAATTAATCTTGTACTTATGTACATATTAATTGTTTCATTAATACACAATAAATTTTTTCTACATTCTAATCATTAGGTCATGAGAAATATGGATGATAAATAAGTTTTTAAATAGTCTAATCGATTCATTTCACCACTTTCTTATAGTACAGTTGAATGATCTTTGCCTTTAATTTTATGATCAATAACTTTTAGAAAGCTATTTCTGCACTAGTTGCTTTATAATCTTTGTGATTGATATTATGTTGTAATTATATTATTTGCATTTTGGGAGCAAACGATCTAAAACAAAATTATATTAAAAATATAGTACGGCATGTTATTATTTTAATATAATAATCAATAATGATAATTATAATTAAATCAATAAAAAAATTAAAAAAAATTTGAATTTAACATAATATCAATATACTTGATTTCAGGAAGTTCAAATGTTGAATAAAGCTAATTATAATATTATTGTTTTAGCTTTAAAATTTCAAAGAGGGAAGGTTTTAGAAATGGAATAAATAAAATATGAATTTCATTAGCAAATTCTTGAGTAATTCAATTAGTTAAAGTCATTGCCCTTTAAATTGGGTATTTTTTTTTTACCTTTGAGTAGAATATTAGTATTATTAATGAGAATTAGTAGTAACTCTTTTTTTTTATCTTCTGGAGGAACGAAAGCATTGACCTTTAATAACATGGAATTTATCATAATCTTAATAATTCAAATAAATCACTTTGATATTATTTTTGTGACGATCTGCTGTTGTTGCAGCAAATCTCCTTCTTCATAGACCAATTTGACTGTACTCAAAAAAATACATTTATTCTCTTGATATTATGCAAGAGAAATACGAATATGCTTTTAAAAGTTAAATATTTCACGTAATAACTTCATGCTTATTACAAAATATGGAAATTCTTAATTCTTGAGAAAATTCTATTAATTCTAACGCGCTCATAATAGCAAAATTAAACAGTACAATTAATTTTATTTAAATTTTATGAATTTTTATTAATTTAATTATTATATTATTTAAAATAACTCAATTTTTTTTTAAATGAACCTGATGAAAGTAATCTTTGAGACAGAAATCTAGATAATACTTTTTCAATTTTAAAAAATTTATATTTTAAAATTGAAAATTATAATTTATATTATAATTTATATAAAAATATTATTATTATAAAAAACGAATTTAAAAATTATAATACATAAACAAACATTCTTTAAAAATTATAAATTACATTACCACCGTAATCCTAATAATAATAGTTGACAGCTTAAATCAACCACCGAAATTAAAGACAAAATAATAATTAACAAAATGAAAACTCTTATGATAAAATACTTATTAAAAAAATTACGTTATCTGGTCGTGGTCGGATAAATATCATTCTGACTATAACGATTAACTTATTTAGTAATATAAATTGATAAGCATATATATATATATATAGTTGTATTGTATTTATATTTTACAATTGCTTATCTGTTACGTGATATTAAATCCTCTAATATAAACAAAAAACATAAAAATTCTTTAATTTATTTTAGAATTTATATTCAAAAAGACTTTATAAAACTACCAAATTCTTTCTAAACTTATCATTTTAATTTTCATTTCCTAAAAGAAAAAAATAAAAATAAAACTAGTTGATTAGTTCGTTATTGTTTATGGACCGTCTATAAAAAAAAAAAAATCAAAAGTATCCTTCTTAGAAACTGCGAAAATTCGTTTAAAATTGACCATATATATCAACAAATTTAACAACCAAAAGATAGTAAAGATAATACACACGATTTCATTTGACTGGTGAATAACGAATGATACTGGAATTAAAAATTACGAATTCATATTTACATATTTGATTTCATTCATTTACCAAACAGAATCATGAAATCTGAGTTGTTAAAAATCATAGAGTCAAAAATATAATGAATATAGTATAAATAATATAAAAAGAATTAAAGAATAGGTGTAACAAAAGAAAACAATCCATTAGTGCAGATGTCATATTTTGAATCTTAACTTTAATTAATTTATATTCAGTATAAAAGTACTAATATTTTGATATCTTTTATTATGATTCTAGGGGTTTAGTAATTATGTTAAGAACTTTAACTGAAATTTTTCAACAAACCGATATTATTTGATTATAAACCTTTGTAGGCTATAATCAACATCATAATATATTTCTCAAGTATTTGTCCCTGAAACTAATATTAGACTTATTGCAGAAGAGTTTAAAAAAGAAATAATCATTGATGTATAGAATTTTGCTTACATGTTCATGATGATGATGTGATGAATTAAATTTGTAAAGCAATATTTGCGCATCAAAAAAAATAATATTACATAATGATAAAAAATAATCAATTTACTAATATATGGCGCTTTTGTGTATCAATTATGTAATCGATTATAATTGTGATAAGTTTTGCAAACATTGTAAAATCATTGGTGTAATATTATCAATTGTTTTTTTGTTCTTATTTTTCTATAATAAACTAGATAGAAAGGATAGAATATTTTTTTACATTCCACATAGAATTATTTTACTAAATTTAGAATTTTCTATTTTAAACTTAAGATTATTGGTTGCAGTATTATTTATATTGTAATTGTTACTGTATAAGTCGATCATATACATAAATTGGTATAAATAAATTCGGCATTATTTTTTTTGACCAAAAAGAAAAATAACTTTTTATAAAAATTAAAAAATAAAAGATATCAATTATTTCTAAATTTCGATTTCGATATGACTTCTCTTCAAACATATCAAGTTATTGAACAACCGAAAGATAATAACTATGATTTCATTTTTGAAACTGATGAAATAATGAATAATACTGGAGCTATAAAATTACAACGAAATGCCAAAGCAAATCGAAATATTGTGTGTCTTACTAAAGTTCCATTTCCTCCAAATTTAACTGAAGAAGATCTAATAAGACCCAGAAATGACAAATGTGACAAACACAAAGTACCTAATAAATTTTTTATATACAGAAAATGGTATACCATGTGTTTGAATTCCGATGAAAAGAAAAATGATCAAACGTCAATTTCTCCTTATATTTCTGAACAATGGAGAAATGAACCTCAAGAAATTAAGGATTATTATGCTGTCTTGTCTAAAAGTGCGGGTAAATTGTTCAAAGAAAGATATGGAACTGATGGGTTTAAAAGAAAAAGTCCAAGTAAATCAAAATTATTGTTTAATAATTCCTTATTGTATTTCATAATGATTATTTTCTTAACTTCAATATTCTCAAAAATTTTATAGATAAAATACGAAAAAATAAGAAATCACGAAACGAAAAATTAAATCCTAAAATTAAGGAAGAGAATTTCAATTCAACTAACCAGAAAATGTTTGAACCTCTATATCAACCACATGATTTGGAAACTTTACTCCACCCTCCGCATCGAGAATCATTATTTGTTCAGGCTCCAGGTTTCTCAAGTTCATCTCCTGAATCTCAAACATCTCATTCTCCAGAACAGCCGTATACATATGATTATTTGGATCCTACAAATAATAATATGTGTGATTCAAATAATATGTTATTGGATTTATTAATGATAAAGAATTAATTTTCGAAAATAATTAAATTAAAAAATAAGATAGATAGTGACTTATAATGTATTTTTATAAGATTTTTTTAAGCACATTCATTAAACAATTATATTTTGTTATTTATGATTATTATTGTTATTTATTTGTTTATCTATTTATTTATTTATTTATTTTATTTAAAATGTATTTTTTATGATTCTATCAATATTCATTCAATTTTTTTTTATTCTCTAATCATCTTTATATCACACAAAAAGAATTTTATTTTACCAAAAAATATGATAATAATTTAGACAAATGGAAATAAACATATAAGTATATAAATATATAAATAAATATAAATATATATGAATAAATATAAATATAAATATGTATATATATATATATTAAATATATCCAATTATTCTGAACTTTGATAAATTTAAATGAGAATTATTCGAATTGTTCTCAAAGAATTTAAATATAGTACAATTTATTATGAGAATAAATAGTATATTAACAAAAATTTAATTATAGACATTATTTATTTGTTGTTATTGAGAGGCTTTGTATTTATGATATTTAATTTGACATATTTTAATTAAAAAAGTTTTTATGGTGAGCAACTTCAGGCTTATAAATTTGAATACTTTCCATATTAACATTTTTCTTATTGATTCATTTTTTTAAATGTCAACTTGATTGATTTTCTTCTATAAATTTCAGTTATACCATCATTCTAATCTATAATATTCAGCAGTCACTTTAGTATCTCTTTTATTGACATTTCATTAAATGATGTAATTTCTATACTTTCTCAAATATGGAGCTCTACTCAATGCAACATATCAGCAAAAAACGATTCTAGAGATACTTTAATGTGGGGAAATTTCAACTGTCTATGCAAATGCATTTTGGAGGGGGAAAACTGGATATAATGTTCATTAACTCTTTAAATAAAAAGATACCAGCTACTAGTTTAGAAACTATGGCATTTCCAGTTTTTAATGGAAAGGCATCAAGAATTTTCAGAACTACACCTACAGATTCATTATAGAATTCTTTTTCAAATAATTTAAAAAATTACTTCTTTCAAAACTATTTCACTTGGTTTTGATTTGAAATGATGATAGATATTTTTTTTTTTTTTTTTTTTTTTTTTTTTTTTAATTCCAACGGAGTCATGCTTTAATAATTTAAAAAATTACTTCTTTCAAAACTATTTCACTTGGTTTTGATTTGAAATGATGATAGATATTTTTTTTTTTTTTTTTTTTTTTTTTTTTTTTAATTCCAACGGAGTCATGCTTTAATAATTTAAAAAATTACTTCTTTCAAAACTATTTCACTTGGTTTTGATTTGAAATGATGATAGATATTTTTTTTTT